TCGCCCTCGTCGTCGGTCGTCGTCGATGTCGTCGTCGTCGTCCCCCACAGACCCACCCACGACCCGCCCCGCGAACCACCCTTCGGGGACCCACCCGCGGCCCGCGACCCACCCCGCGCCCATCCCCTGCGTTTTATCCGCAATGGCGGGGTGTTACGTGGTATGCTCAGCTGTCCCCGCTCCGACCGTACTGCGTGATGCACCTTTCCTTCACGAGCGCTTTCCTTCCCGAGGCCCGGCTTCTCCTGGCCGTCGCACAGTCTGCTCGCGGCGCCCCATTCCCTAGGGGGACAGAACCTGTGGCGTCGCTCGGACGTGTGAAGCTGCTCGGCGAGGCCAGCGCCAGAACATCTTCGGAGGGCACCAACTATACACCAACACCGATGCCGGCCCAGGATCACCCTGGGCCCATGATCGGTGTATATGCCTTCTTGCCCAAGGCAGGAGGGCGTATACACCGATCCTGGGCCTAGGGTGATCCTGGCCGGCATCGGTGTTGGTGTATAGTTGGTGCCTTCCTACATCTGGACCGTTCAGGAGCACCTGGGCTCACCTCGCGAAGCAAGACTGCGGGGCCGAAGGATGCACGGGGAAAGGACGTGCGAGCGATGCCAGACAGCGCCATCGGCGTGAACACTCGGAAGTCCGCGTGGATCTCTTGGGTCGGTGCCGGCCCGCCCTGGCGGCGCCTCCCGCGCCGCTCCCGGCGCGCCCCGCGCGCAGATCCAAGAGATCCGCGCGGAATTCCGAGAGTTCATGTTTACGCAATGTTTTGTTCCTCTAGTTTTATGTCGGGCCTGTCCCTCTTTGGGGGGAAAATTTCAAAAATAGTCCAAAAATTGTGCGCGGACGTTTTTTTCAATGGTAATGTTCGACTATGCCTGAATATTGTTTGGGGACGTTTTCATCTTTCCCCGAACATCCGCCTGTAGGGGGACAGGCCCTGCCTAACTCCAGTCTCTGTGCCGTCGCACAGTCCGCGAGCGGCGCCCCCATTCGCTCCGGCTGTCGCCCATGAGCCCCGCGTCGCATCCCGGTCGAGCGCTTCCACTGGCTTTACACCTTGTGGAGGCTGCTGCCGTGGCCAGACACGCACGCAGGCGCGCGATCCCGGACCGCTGGGGCGGATCGCCATACACGCCATTCATTTTAGTCCTCCTCCTGCCCTTCCTCCTCCTGCCTCTGTGCATTTGAGACTTCCCGCGCTCGTCTGTCACTGTATGAAGTGGTTTGATGGGTCTTGATGGCTGGGAAGTGCCATCGGTTTGGATGGCCCCGCCCCGCGGTCGAGAGGACCCTCGGGGGGGCTCACCGAAATGCCATCGGCCCTTTTCGTCTTCAGCCGAGGGCTGAAGCATTTGCCATCGTTTCTGATGGCCCCTTCTTCGCAAGGGCTCCCACGAGGGCGCGAAGTTATTCGCGCTTCGCGCTTCGCGGTCCTCGTTCCTTCTCCCCCTCCTCCTCGTCCTCCTTTCCTCCCTTTGGGGGGGGCGGCGCGAGGGCGCGAAGTTATTCGCGCTTCGCGCTTCGCGGAGCGCGAAGCGCGAAGTTGGGAGCCCTAGCTTCGGTTCCAAGCCCCGGGGTGGGCACGTGGGAGGCGACACGCCCGAGGGCGATCGCCCCCGCCGCGCGCACTGCAATCCGCATCAGAGCATCCAACCCCACAAAAAAAAACGACTACGACGGAGGAGGGGAAGGAATGGGGGAGGAAAGGGGGGAGGGGAACAGGGGAGGAGAGTGGGATATAGCGAGGAGGAGGAGGAGAGGGGAGTGGAGGGAGGGAAGAGGAGAAAGGAGGAAAGGGCCAGCTCTCTCCCCCCCAGGGCCGTGTTTTTCGCACACGCCCCTCTCGCTTCTGTCGAGACTGCCGCTCCTCCTCCTTCCTCCTCCTCCTCCTCCTCCTCCTCCTCCTCCTCCTCCTCTCTCGCCAGTCCCTCATCCTCCTCTCGCTCTCCTCGTGCTCCTCGTGTTCCTCGTCATCGTCCTCCTCCTACTCTCCCCTCCTCCTCCGCCATCGCGCTCACCGAGCGGGACGTAGGCGGCCAGCACCTCCTGCGCCTCGGCCCACAGCCCAGCGGGCATCTTGGATACCTTCACCGTTCGCTGCTGCATCACGTCCACAGCTTTCTGCACATTCGCCTTGTTGACTTCTTCGTCCGCTTTGGGGTCCTTCAGGGCAGGGGCCAATGAGGCCTCATTCAGCGTAAGGTTTGCGATCTCGACGGCCGCATCCATAGAGGCGAGCTCCTCCTTGTAGCCATCCGCTGAGACCTTGAAGTCGCGGAGTGCGTGCAGGCAATTGGCTTTCGCATCCGTCATTGTCTTCACTGCAGTCTTCAGTTTGGCGTGGAGTCCAAGCTGCTTGGAACATGTCTTTCTCGCATGTGCCAGGATGGCATCGAAGTCCATCGGGTCGCCGTTTCAAGTAACCGCATGCCGATGATAATAAAGGGACCCCCCCTTCAGTGTTTAGAGTTGATTATCGTCGCCCTATACAAAATTCAAATTGGGCGGCGAGCGCTGAGGCCGAACTTCATTATCACCTCGAAACGCGATGTTGAGATAGCAACACAAAGCGATGTTGCTATCCCCGCGCGCGCCTGAACTTTTTTATCTCTGGGGTTGATTATCCATGGAAAGGGGAGCACATGAGCTACCCTACATGAGCACTTAAAAATCAATTTTCATAAAGCGTTTGTAAATTAAAATTGGTAGATTTGGAACTTTCAATTTCTCCGTTCTTCTTCTCTTCTTCTTCTTCTCTTATTCTTCTCTTCTTATTATTATTATACTTTCCTCTTCTTCTTTTATATTTCTATCTGTCCTCACGCTCGCCTGAACTTTTTTATCCCTGGGGTTGATTATCCATGGAAAATGAAGCACATGAGCTACCCTACACGAGCACTTAAAACATTCAAGTTTCATAAAGCGTTTGTACATTAAAATTGATAGATTTGGAACTTTGGATGTTTCCTTCCGTCGTCCTCTTCTTATTCTCCTCTTCTTATTATTTCTTCTTCTACTGTATTCTTCTTCTTTTATATTTCTCTGTCCCCACGCTCGCCTGAACTTTTTTATCTCTGGGGTTGATTATCCATGGAAATTGAGGCACATGAGCTACCCTACACGAGCACTTACAAAACACAATGTTCATAAAGCGTTTGTAAATAAAATCTAATAGATTTGAAACTCGAGATTGTTTCTTTTCTTCGTCCTTCTCCTCCTCCTATCATTTCTTTTATTGTATTATTTATTCTGTTTATTTTGCTTTTATATATATAGCTTCCTCCATCCCAGCGAGATAAGCCATTGTTGAGGATATTTCTATGAAAACTAAACGCCAATGATGTCTCAAAACGTGCTCGGCTAGGTCTCCTCTTGATCATCTCTTACTTCGAGATTATGCTGAGGTCTGCTGGGCTACTTTTATTATCTCTCCCTGAACCCCGAACTTTATTATCCCCTAGTGTTTATTCTCACGGGCATGAGGTTATTCATCCAGTGGGAGCCGTCCTCCATTCGGTCTCTGATCTTACTGAGGCTGTCCAAATCATTGGTCGCAATGTCCATTGCGTCCTGCAGAAGGACGCCGACGACGCATGGACAGCGACCCACGCCAAGGCAGCCCTGGACTTACGATCGATGTATCTGCCTTCCTGGTTTAGTCCAGGGTTGGCTTGGCATGGATCGCTATCGCTGCATCGTCGGAGCCCTTCCCGATCCTTGGCAGAATCCACGGCGTGCTTCGACGCCACGGCCTTCGCGACGCCCCCCCCTCTTCTCCATGATAGTGTTGAAGTCCTCGTACGTTGTGCAGCCGTACGCCATAAACGTCTCGTCGGCACTTGCTGAACTCTTAGTTGTCAAGGTCGCCATCGCAGAGTCCACCTGCTCGTAGAGATTATGCACGTCTTCGCAGCCACCATCCTGGGAGGCGCTACGGCGAACCGAACGTAGTTTCTTGCAACAGCAATGTGGGTGACGAGGTCCTGCAGCCTGTGGGCCGCGCAGCAACCCCACATGAAGCCTAGTGCTCGGGACGATGCTCTGCACCAGGGTCATGGCGACGTAGTAGGATGCTTCGGATTTCGCGACCACCTGCCCAGACACCTCGAGCTGGTCCACGTCGGTATCGGTGTTCATGATGCCGCACGCCTCGATGATGTGGCAGGCCACCTTGGCAAGTTGCTTGCTCTCCTCCCCCCTGTTGCCAGCATGGAGGCACCTCAGCTGCTGGAAGTGTTTGTCGCTGGGCTCTGCCATGTATGCGGAGAGTACAGTTATGTACGCAGTCTCCGTCTTGGCCTTGTGGGCGTGGTCGAGGTGAGCGTTGAGGTCGGAGCACACTTGTTCCATAGGGTTACCACCGCTGCCAGAGACGACTTCTTCGATGACCGCCGAGTACGCTTCCATGCTTGTCTGGAGCTTCTCCGCCAAGGCGATGCCCACCTGGTCTGCCGAGAGTCTCGTACATGCAGCTGCCAGCTTGTCCATCGTGCTCTGAAAGGGTCTGTTCTACTTCGCGACGCATCAATGATGGGCCAGTCTTATCATTGAAAACACATTCCATATGCGCTCGTGGTGTTCTCAAGCGTCGGCTGGGCAAGTGTAGAGTAAGACGACAGCTTGCTCCTCATGAATTCGCCTGGCTTCGTGTCTAAGTGGTATCACGTGGTCGCCCGTGAGGCTCACCTGGCAACGAATGAGGTGCGCATCGAACGGCTCCATTACGATATACCCCTGCTCAGCTACGTTCTGTTCTCATGTGGGCCATGCACAATGATACCAACTGTGACCTCAGCGGGGACTGCACCTGCATGGCACGATCATTCCTCAAGTTACCATTGGCAGCACCACACGCAATGATATCCAACTGACGGGGGGAACGTGCTTCAATGATCGGGTCGTAATCCGCGTTCAACTGTTCGTGTAGAGCCGCATGTATCACATCACCGTTAGAACCTTCAAGTACGCACAGATGTGTTGGCATATTCCCGCAAATGTGCACGAACTGCCTTGATTGGTGCAGCCTGTTCCTCACGATCATGCCGAAGCCACCCTTGGTGACGAACATCTCGCGCGTGCACTTAGACATCTCTGTGATGGCGTCGTCAGTATACTCATGCTCCACCCTGCAGGTCACCCTCATGATTGGGCCATGATATTTCCTCTTGCTGAAGAAAACAAAAGGCTCGATCGCACTTCCACTCTGGCCAACGCTCTCCCTGCATGCCGCCGTCATCTGCCGAATGAGTCCAGACACGGGCAGATGGGAAGCGAAATACGCTGCGTATGCAGTGGCGTAAACCTTCTCTCTAACATGACTCAGACTTATACCCATTCTGCTCGCCACCACCGTGGCGGATTCCAAGACTACGGGCCGATCATCATCATACGTTTTTCCACCAGCATTCGCACCAGCTTGGCGAACGCATCGCTCACGGTCGACACCTGGATTCCGTGCTGGAGGCCCTTGAATTGGCTGGATTTGCAACTGCCCTGGTTGGTGCGGCTGGATCGCCCGGCCGTCGCCCCGCAAGAGACTGGGCGGCCTCTCGCCAGGGCGGCCGTCGAGCCAATCTTCGTCTTCGCTGGGCAGCCCGTCGTTCTCTGGCGCACCGCCAGTTGCTGAAACTGGTGTCGAAATGCTTGGCGGGCCCCATTCCTCATCGCCCAGCCACTGCTCGGAAGGAGAACTCATGCATCGTAGCAGACATGTGACGTGTTTGTGTCAAAACGTGTTTGAGCCAAAATGGTTGGTTGAGGATCGGCATTCGTCACATTTCGGCACGCCCCTCACGCATTTCGCCACCCATTGAAGGATCCATCCCAGGGCCCAACTTGGGGGCCCATTGCGAGTGCCATTTGGGCAAGGCCTTTGGGGCGATTACGTTTGATCCGCTTCGGGGCCCCGACGACGGAGCTGCTGAAATACAAACCAATGACGCAAAGTCCGCCGACCCCCAGAAGGAGGTGAAAAGGCGATGAAGGCGAATCTACACTGTCCAAGAACATTTGGCCCTTGTGCACACAGCTTTGCACGCACGACGCACCAGTTCACGTCCCCCCCGTGCAAAGGGTCTCGCTCCCTAGGGCTCCCCCGCCCCTTCCTCCTCCTCCCCCGCCAGCCCTGCATCTATACATGCACATCTATATATATATATATATATATATATATATATATATATATTAGACCATCGATTTCCCCAAACAGTACTTGCGCTGCTATTTCTGTTCTCGGGAGAAGGGCCGCGCTTTCGATCTGGCGGCTATGTGGCCGTCGTCGCCGCCCCGTCGCCGCCTCGCCGCCCGCGCTGTTGCACAGGACGACGAGGATGAGGAGGCCGCGGCGTTTGATGCCGACAAGCAGGGCGGCTTGCCGGCCGACTTCGAGGCACGGCCTCCCGGCGGCGACTTCGAGGCGCCTCCGCCCCTTCGGGAGGCCTCGCACCGCGCTCGCTTCGTGGCGCTCTTGAGCAGCCCCGGGAGCAGCTGTTGAGATCCGCGATCTCGAGGAAGCGAAAGCTGCATGTAAACACAAACTGTGAAGGTCCGCGCGGATCGCTCGGGAGCTGCTTCTGGTGCCGTCTCTGGCGCGTTCCGCGTGTCAGGGAGGGGGGCAGTCGTCTATCTATGCGTTTGTCGCAATTCCGAGTTATGGGAAACCCATGGGTCGCCAGATTCCCTATGGGTTTCTGGCGATCGATGGGTTTCCCATACTTCGCAGGCCTTCGATCCAAGAAGAAATCCGCGCAGACCTCCGAATCTTTGTGTCTCTGCACACGCTGTTGCCCCCCGACCTGTCGGGGAGGCTGCTATAATCCGAGGTCAGCGCAGCCCGGGTCACCCAGGGCCATGTCGCGAACACGGGTGGGCTGCGAAGTTGGCTCCCAGCTCCTAAGCCCAGATCAGCGGAGGGATCATGGCGCCAACATCGCGGAGCCGATTTCGTCGTCATTCGGAATGAGCACTCTTGTCTTCAATGTAGCATGCCGCGCTGGCGGCCACGTAAGCCGCCGCGCAAGGTCGCTATGCCATCTCGCGCAGGACCCGTTTCTGACCGTCGCTCATGTTTCTGGGTTTGTACCCCGTCGTCTGGTGAGTGGAGCAATCCGCCACACAAATATTCTTACTTATACATTTTTATAGGGCCAGGGAGCCCACACCCAAGCGCCCCCCCAAAACGAATTTCGCCTCCTCGAGCCTGTCTTGCGCCTTGCTGTGGCCATCCTGGGGTCGTCTTGACGCCCCCCGAGTCAAGCGATAGTGCACAAGCGAGAAGGCTGAACATATCGTTTTTGTTACAGAGTTTCCTCTGCTTTTCCCACTCTCCAGGCCCTGTTGGGCCAGCCTTGGGCCTCTTTGGGGCTCGTCTGGGGCCTCGTCTGGAGCCGTCTTGGAGGCATCTAGACGCCTCAAGAGCCAATCGGAAGCGACAAGGCGAGAAGACCAAAAACCTTGCTGTTCCTATGAATTTCCTACATTCGTCCATCCTCTGGGTCCCCCTCTCCGGGCCCTACAGGGCCGGGGAGCGCCCCCTTCCCCCGCCCTCCCACAAAAGACTTTCGAATCCTCGGGCCTGTCTTGCGCCTCCCTGTGGCCGTCCTGGGGTCGTCTGGACGCCCCCCGAGTCAACTGGAAGTGAAAAAGCGGTAAGGCCGAAAACACTGTTTTTCTATTGCGTTTTCTCTGCTTTTCCCACTCTCCGGGCCCTGTTGCGCCAGCCTTGGACCTCTTTGGGGCTCGTCTGGGGACTCAGTTGGAGACGTCGTGGAGCTGTCTCGACGCCTCAAGAGCCAATCGGAAGCGACAAGGCGAGAAGACCAAAAACCTTGCTTTTCCAATGCTTTTCCTACATTTGTCCACTCTTGGGCCCCATTCTCCGGGCCGAGTTGCGCCATCTCCGGGCCCTGTTGCGCCAGCCTTGGGCCTGTTTGAGGCCCTGGAGACTCATTTGGAGCTGTCTGGACGCATCAAGACCTAATTGGAAGTGACAAGGCGAGAAGACCAACAACCTTGCTTTTCCAATGATTTTCCTACATTTGTCCTTCCTTGGGCCCCACTCTCCGGGCCCAGTTGCGCCAGCCTTGGGTCTTTTTGGGGCTCGTCTGGGGACTCATCTGGAGCCGTCTTGGAGGCATCAAGACGCCTCAAGAGACAATCGGAAGCGACAACAGGACGCGATAGAAACGAAACAACAGGAGCGCCATCTGCAAGAAGCCGGCAGCCCAGCAGCGCGCATGCCGAAAATAGCAAGTGGACGAAAAGCAGGACGAAGTAGAGGAAAAGGAAAGGGAGAGGAGAAGGAAGCGGAATGAGGAAAAGGAGGGAAGAGCCGAAAGAGGATGAGGATGAAGAGGAGAAAGAGGGGGGAGGAAAATGCGGAGGAAGAGCAAGAGGAGGAGGATGCCTTGCTTCATGCTACCCCAACCAGTCGCCTGAGACTTCCTCGTGCCTCTGGGCACAGAAACGCCCTGAGCTGGCCAGAGCTGGCGTTTTCAAATCGCTCCCCCTTAGGAGATCCTGACCCACTCCGACTTGGCGGTGGCCGGCCCCACGTCCATGCGCGCGCACGCCGCCTGCAGTCGAACTCACAAGGAACAAGGTGCATGGCGCGAAGCGCCAATGCAGTCTTGTATATATATATAGATATATGTATATACATACACACTCCAATATATTGCTCCTGGGCCTCAGGAGAGGATGGCGGTGTATAAATCACCACTGAGAGGCAGCGATGTTATACACCGCCGCCCTCCCTGAGGGTACATACGAAGTTCCTCAGAGGGTGTCTGTGTATAGATGTTGGTGGCGTAAGCAAGTAACGACAGAAGATATAAGCACAGAAACTCGGAGGTCCGCACGGATTCCTCGGATCGGTGCTCTCGGGCACTGGTCTCTGGCGCCAACACCCTGGCGCGCCCCTGGGCGCGCGAAGGAAGGAGGTCATCGCGCAGACCAAGAAATCCGCACGGACCATCGAATGTTTACGTTCGTGTCGTTTTTTCTGCATCGAATGTGTCTGTTTATGCTTGATTTACACGCCTATCACCCGAAGAAACGGTAGAAATATATGCTTTCGACGGTAAGCGCAGATGTCCTGGATCTGCGCTGGAGCCCCCTGGCAGCGTCTCCGGCGCCGCCTCTGGCGCGTTCCGCGCGCCAGGGAGGGGGTCCCATCGCAGATCCATTGTTTAATGGAAGATGACGATTAATAAATGACCAGGGGTCGTGTTCACGCGGCGGCGCCCGGGATGACGATTAGAAAAAACTGGCCGCGGGCTGGAAAACTATTTTTTAAAATCGTTCTCCTCCAGTCAGAAAATTGTACAGAAATATCAGAAAACTATGTTTTAATCGTTCTCTCACATTTTTTTGATTAATCGTCATCCCGCAGTATGTTCATGCCGTTTTTTCATCTAATCCCCCACCTTGGGGATCGCGTGCACCGAGGAGACCCAGGCAGGGGGATAGCGTGCACCGATGAGGCCCTCGCAGGGGGGTCGCGTGCGCAGAGAGAGCGGACTTCGCGGGGAGGTTGCCTCGCAGGGATAGCGCGCTTTCCAGGTGTCGATGTTGCCACGCTACCCGTGCAACGCCACCCGCATACCGCCACGCACAGCTCGGGAGGAGGCGGCGGGACTCTCCCTTTGGCTCGGTTTTGTTTTGCCGATACCCATCCCCACTGGGCCACAGCATCTCAGTCCCACCATCCCGCCACCCCAGTTGGGAACAAGCCCCTCGAAACCCGAAGGGAACAGCCCGTAACTATCCTGAATTCGGGCGTGTCCCTCAACAGGGGGAATATTCCAAAATTGTTAAAATAGTCGGGGGACGATGTTTGGCATTTTTTTGGGAATTATCGAGTATTGGTTGATTGTTTGTTTTTCGTCCAAAATCCGCCTGTAGGGGGACATGCTCGACCTAAGGATATTGATTTTGTCCCAAGCATCCTGTGATTTTGGGTAATCGTTTTGAAGAGAGCGCCCGGCGTTCCCGCCCCTCTCCTCCCCTATACTCCCTCCTCCCATCCCTTGCCTCTGCCCTCGACATGTCCTCATCGTCGTCATATGGGCGCATGTAGTTCCACCTCCATTCCGGCGCACCCCTCACACATTCCTTGGCCCCATAAGGTACTCCACGGGAGGCCCCAGTGGCAGGGCCCGCATGGAGTTCCACCTTCACTTCGGCGCACCACTCACCCGTCCCGTGGAAATTTAGGGTGCTCCACCGAAGGAGCCAGTGGCAGGGCCCGCATGCAGTTACATTTGGATTTCGGTGCACCCCTCACACGTTTCGTGGCCCCACACGGTGTTCCACCGAAGGCCCCAGTGGCAGACTCCGCATGCAGTTCCACCCCATCTTGGCCCACCCCTCACACGTTTGTGGCCCCACAGCCATCCACTGAAGGCCCCAGTGTCAGGGTCCGCATGCAGCTCCACCCTCATCCCATCGCGGCGCACCCCTCACACGCTTCGCGCCCCCATAGGGAGCTCCACCGAAGACGATACTGACGACTGCGCCATTCACACTTGCATACGGTCGGGTCCTTCACCAGGCTGATTGAGTCGTTGAACTCGTAACGTCCGTGACGATGGGGTCGCCCCGCACGTACGGGGGAGGAAGGGAGGGGGGCCGTGCTCACAGGCATTGGATACCTTACAGACGCCTCCAGAGGCGGCCGTCGTCGTCGTAGTCGTCCAGTTATCGTCGGCGTCGGCGTCGGGATCGTCGTCGTCGTCGCCCTTGTCCTCGTCCTCGTCCTCGTTGTCCCCAACGTCTTCGTCGTGGTGTTGTGATCACGTCGTCATCGTCGTTGCTCTCATCTTCTTCGTGGTCGTCGTCGTCATCGTCGCCGCCGCCGTCGTCGTTGTCGTCGCTATTGTCATCGTCGTCATCGTCGTCGTAATCGTCGTCGCCCTCGTTGTCGTCGTCGTCGTCATCGTCGTCATCTCCGAAGGCCTTGAAGGGCTTGCAGACGCCTTCAGAGAACTCCAAAGATCTCCTCAGGCCTCCGGAGACCTCTGGAGACCCTCAGAGGTGGCCGTCGTCGTCGTCCTCCTCCTCCTCCTCGCCCTAGTCTTCGTCGTCGTCATCGTCTCCGCGGGCGGCGAAGGGCCTCAAGGCGCCTCCAGAGGCGTCCAAAGACTTCCCGAAACTTGTGGAGACCTCTGGAGATTTCAGTGGCAGCATCGTCGTCGTCCTCGTCGTCCTCGTCCTCGTCCTCGTCCTCCTCGTCTTCGTCGTCCTAGCCCTCGTCGTCGTCGTTATCATTGTCTTCGTCGTTGGCGTCGTCGTTGTCGTCGTTGTCTTCGTACTCCTCGTCGTCGTCCCCCTCCTCGTCCCCCTCGTCGTCCCCGTCGTTCTGGAGGGCTTCGAAGGACCTGCAGACGCCTCCAGAGGCCTCCGGAGACATCTTGAGGCCTCTAGAGATTTCTGGAGACCTGCAGTGGCCACCGTCGTCGTCGTCGTCGTCGTCGTCGTCGTCGTCGTCGTCGTCGTCGTCGTCGTCGTCGTTCTCGTCGTTCTCGTCGTCGTTGTCATCGTCTCCGCGCGCCTCGAAGGGCGTGCAGACGCCTCCCGAGGCCTCCAAAGACCTCCCCGCAGCCTCTGGAGGCCTGGAGAGCTCCCCCGAGGCGGCCGTCCTCGCCCTCTAGTCCGCCTTCCGGAGCACCCGCGCGCCGAGGAGCTGGAGCCGCACCTCGGGCCTCCTCCTCCCTGTCCTCCTCCTCCTCCTCCTCCTCCTCCTCCTCCTCCTCCTCCCCCTCCTCCTCCTCCCTCCCTCCTCCTCCTCCTCCCTCCTCCTCCTCCTCCTCCTCCTCCTCCTCCTCCTCCTCCTCCTCCTCTCCTCCTCTCCTCCTCCTCCTCCTCCTCCTCCTCCTCCTCTCCTCCTCCTCCTCCTCCTCCTCCTCCTCCTCCTCCTCCTCCCTCCTCCTCCTCCTCCTCCTCCCTCCTCCTCCTCCTCCTCCTCCTCCTCCTCCTCCTCCTCCTGGAGGGCACCTCCGTGGCCGAGGCCCGCCGTGGCCGGAGGCAGCCGCGGTGCACGGTGGCGGGACGAGAAGCGGCGAAGCGCTTCCCCGGTCGCGCGGGAGCCTTGGCGCTGCGCGGCCGCAGGCAGGGGGCGGTGCGGGCGGTGAAGGGGGCCCTCCGAGGCCGTCGGCGAGGGCGGCCTGCCTGCCGGGCGTGCAGGCGGCGGTGGGAGCCTGCCGGGAGTCACGTTGGGGAGCGGTGACGCGGCCTGGGGCGCCCTCGCGAGCACCGAGATCGTGGAGGCATCGGCCGACGCCGATCGACTCCCAGACGCCCCTCGACACCCAGCCGCCGATCGGCGCCAGAGCCGGAACCGGGAGGGCAGGCCGGGCCCCCATGGCTCGCTGCCGAGAGGACCCGTGCCCTCTCCTCGCGAGGCGCCCCCCGTGGCCAGGACGCACCGGACAGGACAGCCGCGTGCTGGCAGCGATGGCGCTCAGATCCGAGGCCAGAATTTATCCATATCCACCGCCTGGAGGGTCAGTTTTCGGAGCCTCGGCAGGCGGTGGATATGGACATATTCTGGTTCCCGGGGGCCGAAATATATCCACATCCACCGCCCGCTGGGGCACCAGGACGTCGGTTCCCAGGCAGTGGATATGGATAAATCCCCGCCTCGCATCAGACCCCTTCCAGCCTGCTGCTCCTTTGTGGGGGCAATCGAGGTACAGTGGAGGCCAATGCCAAGAAACACCCTGCTTGCCCCCAGGGTGCCCTGGGCTTCTCGGGTTTCGATGGTTTTGCTATGGGAAGCGTGGCGTTCCCGCACGTAAAATCCATGGACGGGCTGGGGTCTCAGGGTTGGGCTTCTTGTGGAAGGTTTCTTGTGGACTGGCCTCCACTGTAGTGACGCGGCCAGGGATGCCCTCACGAACACCGAGATCGTGGAGACATCGGCCGAGGGGGCTGGCTCGTCGCAGGGCGCTACTCAAATGGAGCACAGGGCCCAGCTAGACGGCCCCCCCAGCCCGCTACATTGCGGAGAATCTTGAGGAGATCACCATTGTGCTTGCGAGCTCGACGTGGTCGGGGGACGTCGAGAAGTATCATGTCGAGACCACCCTTCGCAGGGTGTTCGCTTGCGGAAGCGACGTGCGTCTCGACATCGGAGCCCTATAACGGCCTAGCCCTTTGCCGCAGATGTCCATGAATAAACGCGATCAGATGGGCATGGAAAGCCCGTGTGTCCAAGAAATGGCGCGACGAGGAGCATTGATTGCTTTACGTTGGCGCGCACGTCGATCCAGCTTCCACCGTGCACGTTTTGTTCTCTTACGTGACAGCAAAGTAACGCTGGTGGCGGTGACCAAGGGTCAGGCGGGGAAAAAACACGCAGACACAATTAATCGTCGATTTCCACGAAATACTGGACATTATGGACAGTGGGGGAAAGACGAAACCTCAGAAAAGATGAGAAATATGGGACATCCTGGAATTTGGTGTCTACTTATTTGTGTGTGTGTGTGTGTGTGTGTGTGTCCCTGGGCCCCTTTTAAAGGGGAGGAGCAGCGCGAGCTCACTCAACCGAGTGTTGCGCAAGATGTCGTCCCTGCTCGTCGCCTGCAACGCTGACGGCCTGCACGGGCACATCTCGAGCGAAGTCACCCCCCAGACTTCGCCTCGCGAGCCTTCGACCCGCGCCACGGTCAACCGCACAACGAAGGACGACCGGCGACGAGAGCGGGCTCGGTTCGGACACCCGAGCTAGCAGGTCGTCACGCTTAGCACGTCAACGAGGTAAATGGTCGAAATTCGAAGGTTTTCACAACATGCAGATTCACACCAACAATTTGCTTGATGAGGCACGATGTGGATACATCAGTACGATGCGGAACGAGGGTGATCCCAAGGATGACGCAACTGGTTGTTATGCCTCCATTCGGCACTACTACATAAGTCGGAAACATTGGCTGCATGATTGGGACAAAAAGGAATTGGGACAAAAAGGAATTGTCATCGAGGGTGAGGCGGTTATCTCTAACTATGATGTGTGCCATAACGAGCATCTTGGTGGAGACGGGTCAACGCCGGATGGTTACTATGCTGATGGCATCGATGTGTCAAAGTTCTGTGCGCACAGGCGAAGGTTTGGGGCTCATTCGAAAACAACTGAGCTAACGACCAGGCTGGACGTGGAGTCGTCGCGTTGAAAGAGATAAGAACTTCCAAACACACGGGAATCACAGTGAGCGCTACCATCGACTGTCCGCGGGTCCTGAGCTACGCCAGAGAGTTGCGTGGAAGGTTGTTCTTTAGAGGTCGTCTTCCGCGGGACGTTACAGTGCCAAGCGCTCCGTGTCTCAGAACTGCAGGGCGGCGAACGCAGCCCGTGGTCGTTACGACGGGGTGGTGCGACCTTCGACTTCAGAACTTATGGCGAAATGGAGGAAACGTTGGTCACGGGTCGATGGTCCTCAACTCGGGTTGCGAGGCTGTACATCCAGGAAGGCGTGGCCACCCTGGCTGAAGATTTGTTGATGTCGCAAGAAAGCCTACGGCTAATGAAGGTGGCAGATTGGCGGCTCCCAGGTGGGAGTGGGTGAAAAAAGCGCGGTCCACCAGGGCTGGTCAATGGGCGGGGCTTTGCCCCGCCGGTCCTGGGGCCATCCTCCAGAATCGTCTTAGGGTGAGGTCGGGGCTCAGGGAGGCCCCGGCGGCTTCGTTCAGCGGAATGTTTGTGTTTGGCGTTTGCCAGCATATCACAACGGACCAGCTTCGTCATCAGAACGTTGCTTTTCAGCACTCTTCTGGCGATCGCACGGGTCATGGATGGCATTCCGCAGTGCGAGTGGGGCAGAGCGTAGCAGCGCTCGCCGCCATGGCAGTCTCGGTTCGCCCGCCCTCTGCCCACCCAGGTTGTGGGCGCACATCGTACGTGACAGCCCGTGGCGAGGCCGTCCGCGCGTCTCAATCATGGCGTTGTGAAACAAGTCACGACGGGAGGTTTTGGCAATTTTCGGCCTCAAGGTTGATGATGTTCCAACTTACTTAAACCACGAGAAAGAATCTCGAGCACCAAAAAAGCACGTAACTCGAGGGTTTTCACGTGTCAGGCCCTGGGAGGCACTCGTCCTACACTGTTTCGACACTCTTTCGACCATTCTCTGGGTGCTCGAGACTACTTCTGGGACGTGGTCTTTAAGTACGATGGGAGCGACATAAGCGTTGTGGAAAAAGGCACGACGGGAGGTTTTGCAATTTTCAGCCTGTGGGGTGTTTAATTGGGTCCCAGGACCGTTCCAAAAGCCATTGGGGTTGAAAATCTGGCCCTGGGGACAGGGCCAGGACTTCTGGGGACCGTGCACGGACAAAATCAGGGCACCAGGGCCGGGTGCCTGACACCGGCTTTGGACGCCAGTATCAACCGCCCCGATGTCTGCGGGTGCGAGCGCGTGACGTGCCTTGGCATCGCTCGGACGTGTGCACCTGTTGTCGGTGGGGACCATCGAGGAGCATCCGGAGTCATCAAACAACGAAAGACCGCACGAAACCGAAGCGTATCTGGGGGATGGAAATCCGAGCGACGGCAGGATGCACGACGAGCTGACGCGGCATGAGCGCTTCGGGCGGAGGAGAAGGCAAATGTCGGGCCGCCCGCCGTCCGGCCGCCCAGGTGGTGGCCAACCGGCGCGCCCGCCGGAAGAACAGGCGCGACCAGGCGCGACTGCCACGTCGGAGCCCCTTTGCCGAGGATAGACACCTCCAATCTTATGTCTATATATATATATATATATGTATTCCTTGGCCTTCTATCGGGGGTAGGTAGACCTCCTACCCCGACACGTCGATTAAGGAATCGGCCGTTTTCGGTTCGCGAGAGACCGTCGCGGCCGTCATTTTTGCGGGTCCAGGTCCGTCGGTTTCGGTCCCAGGCCGTTTACACTAAGGGGAGGTTTACTAAAGGGAGGTCTGTCCACCGCCGATTCTAAGAGGTCAGTCTCGTGGGGGTCAGGAAAAGGTAAGCCGCATGCCTTGGGTTTACTGGGGCCGCGCTCGTCTCGAAAATATGTCTTCCCGAGTTTTCCACAGGAATTCCTTATGGGATTCTCAGCCCGGGCCATTTGTTTTATCAGGAAATCGTTCTTCTTCAGTTTGCCATTGGCTGACTAGCGGGCGAAAGACATCCCCGAATTGCGTCAGCAAAATAGTTCTACAGCCAAAAGCCCCACAGAGACAGGGATTGGGCTCGCCATACCTCCCGCCACTGAGACTATGAAAGCGAGATTCCATAATGAATCTGCGTTGATCACGACGCCCTCGCTAAAGGACCCCACATCTCAGGGCCCAATCTTTTAAGCTCCGAGCAGCGTCGGGTGAGTCAGCTGGAATTCGGAGGAGAGCGTTTCTGCAAAAAAAACTCTGGGCCATAACGCGCGATATGCTCCCCCTGCCCCCCCCCCACACCATGACGCAACGCTCCCCCCTCAGTGCGCCCCGGGCACTGCCGCAGCGCGTCCCGCACCACAGTTTGGGGAGGTGGTCGTTACGGTGCGCCCCCCCCGTCCCCGCTCCCCCTCCCTTCCCTCCCCACAACGACCTCGGAGGTCGATAGACCTCTCGCCCTGACACGTCGATGAGCGAACTGGCCGTTTCCGGTCCGCGCGGGGGCGTCGCGGCCGTCATTCTTGCGGGTCCAGGTACGTGGGCTTCGGTCTGAGGCCGTTCTCGCCACAGGGTGGTTTTCGAAGGGGAGCTGTGTCAGGTTTACTAAAGGGAGCCGTGTCCACCGCCGACGACCGCTCTCGCCGCGAAGTTCCGAAGGCGCTCTGGGTCACCCGCGGGGGGGCGAAGCGAGTCGCGCGCGGAGGTCTGGGCCGGGGAGCCGCTCGTCTCCAGGGGCGGCCGCGCGAGGGCGCCGAGGTGCAGCAGCGCTTCGCGCCTCTCGAGGGCACGAGGGCCTGGAGAGTTGGCCGACTTGTGGCTTTTGCATCGCTCGGACGTGTGGATTTTCCGTCGGCGATGGCGATGGAAGAGCAATCCTAGATCAAGCGGCAGAGCAGGCACGCACGAAGCCAGGCACTGCACGGGGGATGGGCGTCCGAGCGATGGCAGGGGATCCGGAGTGAGCGCACGGGTCGTATGATGCAGCTCCTGGGAGGTTGAGTATTACGATCTTCCAACCTACTTTAGCTTTTATCACCAGACAGAATCTCGAGCACTCAGACAGCACCGCAAATGAAGGTTTTTCGCGTGTCGGCGACGAGGCGATGCTCCTGCGACACTTAGCTAGCGCGTCGGACATACACTGTTTCGATACTTCCTGACCGCTCGAATTTGTTTCTAGGATGTGGCCTTCAAGTACGATGGGAGCAACATAAGTTAAATTCACTGTCGGCACTGGTGTGTCCATGGTCGATAACCAGCCGGATCTGGCAGAATCCCGCTTCTTCCAGCCAGATCCGGTGCAATTTGGCCTCATCTGGCTGAATTGCCTCTGGATCTGGCCTGCCAGCCTTTGATCGCTCTTGCGAAGACCTCCTGGGAGCTGCTTGATCATCCTCTGGGACTGGTGAAGTCCCAAACCCGGATAGCAGAGCGCCGGAAGGACTTGGAGAGAGCTTCCGAAGGACCTTCGGAGAGCTTCCGCGCACGCGTATTGGAAAACGCTTGGAGAAGGCCTGCCAGAACACGCTGCAGCCAAGCTCTGGCGAGTTTCTCCGGGGAGCTTGCACGGACGCCGGAACGATCTCCAGGGCTACCCTGCGGCTCTGGCTTCTTAATCTGAAGCCCTCTTAGCTCTCTACGAGCTATCCGGGCGAAAAAACGATAGCAACGCAGTCCAGAGCGCGTAAAAAGCTCATGGGGAGCGCTGGCACGGGCGCTCGATAGCATGCTTGGGGAGCTTGCAAGCTTGGAAAAAGCTGTTGAAACAGCTCCTTACTCTGAAGCCTTCTTGGCTCTCTACGAGCCATCCGGGAACTCGGTGGGCCGTTCTCCGAGGATGCGGCCTCTCGGGGCGTGTGGCCTCGGGGCGGCCCAGACGCGCACGCGGCTCTGGGGCCACGCGGCGAGGTCAGTAGGGCCTGTTACTGCAGCGCTCTGGCACGAGGAGGAGGAGGAGGAGGAGCAGGAGGAGCAGGAGGAGGAGGAGGAGGAGGAGGAGTACGAGAAGCGAAAAGTGTTCAAAATCTGAAGACTCCCCACGGCGAACGTTTTACTCCCCGTTTCCCTCTGGAGGGTCTCTGGAGGCCCGCGGAGGTCGCCCGAGGGCCCCATCGGGGCCCAGAGAGGCCCAAGGGAGGCCCAGAAATCCAGGGCTCCCGAGCCATGGCTCATTTCATGTCCTCCGACTGGATGCGATGCCATCCGATTTTTCGGACTCCTGCTTGGATTCCGGCTTCTCAATGGGGGCCTTATTAGACCGCCGATTCCCGCCGATTCGACTTCTCCCGACTTGGTTGCCGGTGTCCGCCGATCCGATTCGTTTCGATCGCCGATCCGACTTACCGATTCGAGTCTGGGCTCTCCTGCACGCCGTATGGTCACCACGTCGTGTGGTGAGTTCGTAGGGATTTTAGGTGGCAGCGCTGCTTTGGGGCTGTGTGTATATATATATATATATATATATATATATATATATATGTATGTAAATTCATTTGTATATGTATATGAATATATCACAGTGAGGGGGCCGAACGGCCATTCACTGTCCCTGTGTGCGTGGCTGAAGTGGAACTCCGCGATGCGGATTATCCTTGTTGTTGTTGGTGTTTGTTTTAGTGTTAGTTTTGCTGTTATTGGTATTCGTGTTGCCCTTGTTGGTGTTGTTGCTGGTGTTGTGTTGGTGGTTGTTGCTGTTGTTGTTGGTGTTGTTGGTGTAAGTGTTGTTGCAGTTGTTGTTGGTTGTGGTATTGGTGGTGTTGGTGTTGGTGCTGTTGTTGCTGGTGTTGCTGTTGTTGTTGTTGTCGGTGGTGGTGGTGATGTTGTTGGTGGTGTTGATGTTGGTGTTGGTGTTGGTGGTGTTGATGTTGGTGGTGGTGTTGGTGTTGTTGTGGTGGTGGTGGTGCTGCTGATGTTGGTTGTTCCTGTTGTTGTAGTTGGTGTTGCTGTTGCTGTTGCTGTTGCTGTTGCTGTTGTTGTTGTTGGTGTTGTTGTTGTTGTTGGTGTTGGTGTTGTTGTTGTTCTTGTTGTTGTTGTTGTTGTTTTTGTTGTTGTGGTTGTTGTTGTTCTTGGTGTTGGTGGTGTTGTGGTTGTTGGTTGTGCTGTTGTGATTGGTGTTGTTGTTGTTGCTGCTGTTGCTGCTGTTGCTTTTGCTGTTGTTGTTGTTGCTGCTGCTGCTGTTGCTGTTGTTGTTATGGTTGTTGTTCTTGCTGCTGCTGCTGCTGCTGCTGCTGCTGCTGCTGCTGTTGTTGTTGTTGTTGTTGTTGTTGTTGTTGTTGTTGTTGTTGTTGTTGTTGACGAGGACGTGATTCTGGTACCCCGGGAGGAGTTGCGGAGGGGGGGTCGCAACCGCAACCGCGCACCGCTCGAGCGGGAGCGCCGGGGAGGGGGCGCAACAGGGCGGAGGGAAGCGCAACCAACGGCGCAGTTGGGCGGGTGAGGGAGGGCGCAGCACGGGGAGGGGAAGGCGCATGCCATTCTACCCTTGGGGGCGCACTGGGCACGCTTCATGCAAGCAATCTGGGGGCACTCCCTGTGCGCCCTGGGTACGCTCCCTGGGGCGCATTGGGATCGCGCTGGGGGAGGCGCTGGGGGCGTACTGGGAGCTCTCCCTGGGGCGCATTGGGGTCGCGTTGGTGGGGGGCGCTAGGGTCACACTGGGGGCGCTCCTTGGGGTGCATTGGGAGCGCCCTTCACGGTGCCATTTGCCACAGGGGCGTCTTGGGAGCGCATTTGGAGCGCCTTGGGGGCGTTCCTTGTGGCCGCCCTGGAAGCGCTGGAGCGCACTGGGAGCGCTCCCTGGGAACGCCGTGGGAGGGAAGCGCCTGGCAGCGCTCTGGGCACGTTTCCTGGGAGCTCACTGGCCGCGCCCTGTGAGCGCTCCCTGTCCCTGCGAGCGGTCTGTGAGCCCCCTGCGAGCGCTCCCTCGACTGCGCCATGCTGGAGCGCATTGGGGGCTCCCTGGGATCGCGCCGGGTGCGCTCCGTGGAGCGGGGGCGCTCCTGGGCACGTTTCCCGGGGTTCGCAGGGGGCGCCCTGCGAACGCTCCTTGCGAGCGCTCCCCGTGCGCCACGGGCACGCTCCCTGGGGCGCCCTGGGGCCCCACTTCGGGCGCCCTGGGAGCGCGCTGAAGGGCGCCGTGGGGGCGCTCCCTGGAGCGCATTGGGGGAGTCTTGCGATCGCTCCCTGCGCGCCCTGGGCGCGCTTCCCAGAGCGCACCAGCAGTTCACTGTGTGTCCCCCGCAGGCCCTTCTGTGGGCGCCGTGGAGGCGCTCCCTGGCGCGCCCTTTCGGAGCACATGTGCCAGAACTTCGAGTAGAGTTCTGATGTTCCTACGTATTTAGCCTGGATCACCAGGAAGAATTTCGAGCACCAAGAAAGAACCGAAACTCGAGGGTTTTCACGCGTCGGGCCCTGGGAGACGCTCGGTCGACACTGTTCCGACGCTGCTTCGACACCTTTTCGACACTTTCCCGGGTGCTCGAAGTTGTTTCCGGGATGTGGGCCTCAAGTGCGACGGGAGCAACAATAAGTCGGAAATTGGAGCATATACATTACCAGTGACGGGCGGTTTTTCAATCCCAGGACTTTTTTGAGGGTCTGGGGCGACGTCGAGGTGGTGTGGTGTATACGTTTTCCCCCGCTTTCCCGGGGAAACAGCGAAGAATGTATGCGCCCAAGCCCCGTATACACCAGGATCCGCTTTCCTTTGCGAGTTTCGGCGCGGGGCCAGAAAAAAAGCGTCGGTGTGTATAGAGTTGGGCTCCTCCATGAGAGCAGAAGCCTTCCCTCACCTCGGTATCGCTCGGACGTGTGCATTTTTCCTTCGGCGAGGGCCATCGAGGAGCATCCTTCATGATTTGGCGAACAACAACCACGCACGAAACCGAACAAAAAACACAGGGAATGGACGTCCGAGCGATGCCCAGTCACGGAGGGCGGCGGGGCCTCCACGATGCCCGCCGAGGCAGAGCCCGCCGGGCCCGCGCCCGCCGCCGCTGGGCGGCAGGCGGAGGCGCGCCGTGGCGCGCGTGCCGCGTGGTCGCCGCCCGTGCCGACATCGCCGCCGCCGTCGTCTCCGAGGCGACGACAGGGGCGAATAGTCCAGGGGAACGCGACACATCCAGAGCCCCGAATCGTCCGGGGTAACTCGGGTCAGGGCCAACTCGGGCTCGTTTTCGGGAGTCCGAGCCCGAGTCATCCCGGACCCGAGTTACCCCGGATATTTCGGGCGTCCAGAGCCCCGAATCATCCGGGGTAACTCGGGTCATGGTTAACTCGGGTTCGTTTTTCGGGAACCCAAGCCCGAGTTACCCCGGACCCGAGTTACCCCGGATAACTCGGGCGTCCAATACATGTATTCAGGTGCGCCGATGATCTATGTCTTCAAAATGGCTCCTTGGCGAACACGTGTAATGTCCGCCCCTGGGCTCTTCGCCCTTGTCGTCGCCGCCCGCCGATCGTCGCTGTTCAGCAGGGGAGGAGGAGGTACATACAGTGGAGGTCAGGCACGACGATAGGGGGGGATGGGCATCGACCCCCAATCGCCCATGGATCGCGGATCGCCGACAGGGTCCCGAGAGCCCCAAACTGCCCAGGAAGGTGCGGATTCGCTATCGTGTCTCCATCGGCGATGCATCGCCGATTCCAGGTGGACACATCCCTCCATATGCCTATCCCCCCCTATCGCCAGAGGAGGAAGAGGTACATACGAGATCCATGCCAAAAAACACCCTGCTTGCTTCTAGTGTGACCTGGGTTTCTTGGGTTCCGACAGTTTTTCTACGAAGCGCGTGACGTTCCCACACCAGAAACCAGAGGGCGTCCTGGTGTCTCAGGGCTGAGTTTCTTGTGGAAGGGTTCTCGTGGACTGGCCTCCACTGTACCACTGCCATTCGCCCCGTTTCCTCTTTATGAGCCTCCTGAGAGGCCCTCGCCGCCACCGCTACATTCTCCTCGAAATTCTGGTCAAAACGCACACTGGGAGAGGTCCGTGGAGTAGCTATATCGGTGCCTTCTGGTTTCCCCAGTTCGTCAGAGCTTCGAGCTATCAGGGCAGTGGGTGGTCAGGGATAACTCCTGATTCGGGCCTCCCGTTTTCGTGACAGAGCGGCTCCTCCCGCATTGCACTGCTTTCGGATTCTTGCTCCGGTCACACCCTGCCCCATGTAGATACCGTGCAGCGCTTTCGTGAATCATGAGCTGTTAATTTCGTATCAAGCGGTTCCAGGGTTCTCCCGGATCACATTGTAGCGACACATGGAAAAAAGGGGTCGTCTGCGCCGATATTGGCGCACAAGTTGCCCGCAGAAGGTCGCGAGTAAGCGCCCTCGTCTCCAGTGTAGCTTGCCGCGCTGAGGGCCCACGTTAGCCGCCGCGTAAGGTCGATATGTCATCCTGCGTCAGCCCCGCTATATTTTTCGTCACCCTTTGGGTCAAGCAGTTGCGAGGCGTCCAGGCTTGCCTATAGGCCCACCACAGCATGTTCTGAGAGACTCTTGTGGTTTGCACAGAGTGGTGCTAGAACATTTCTGGTTGAGGCTGTCCCGTTATCACACGTCGGGCTCGTGATCTAAGAGCATACTTTTGGTTCTTAGGACATCTTTCGGGGGCGGCCAAGAGGAAGGTGATGACTAGGGTGGGGAGGGGATATCATGGCGGGGGCCATGATATCTTCTCAGATGTCATGGCGCCTCTTCTTATTTCAATACGACCCCCCCCCCCTGGGCCGCGCACGTGCCGCCAGCCATGACTTGCGCCCCCCCCTCCTGGACGCCCCCCTTTTTGCCGCCCCCGAATTTCTGATTCTCAGAGCATGTCGTGGTAGGTCTGTAGGAATGCCAGGGCGGTCGGTCGCTGTTCCATTTGGGGGCACGAAACCAGGGCCCTACCCTGCCCGGGTCTATCGCAGACAGCTCGGGTGCCCAGGTTCGAAGGTGATCGTTTTCTTATTCACTATTTTGCCGATCGGCGCAGGCCGTCGCATCCCCCTTCCCCCCCATGGAGTAGATTTTGGCTGTTTTTGAACCCGTTTCTTTCTTGCTTGGGGCATGACGGGCGTCATGGCCCCCGCTCCCCCCCCCCTATGACGTAAAACTCCCCCCCCCCCCAAAGGGCGCTCCGGGCACTGCCGCCGTGCGCATTGTGATCCGCGTAGGAATACGCGTAGGAGTCTCGCCCGCAGTCGTCGTCGTCGTTGTTGTCGTCGTCGTCGTCGCTCGTGGCTCGTCGCTCGTCGGTCATCGTCGTCGTGCGCGCGGACGCGGTCGGAGTTTGTTTTTTATTCTGAGCCGATGACGGCAATCATCTCGGGGGGGGTGGAGGGGGTCGATGACGTCACGTTTCGCGCCGGCGGCGTCTGGGAATACCTAGGAATGACGGAGGACGAGTAGCACCAGCATGTAGGTGGCGATCTGCACCACAACGCCTGTGTACACCACAGTGCCTGCGTGCACCACCGTGCCTGTGTACACCACACCGCCTATGTACACCACAGCGGCCGCGTGCAACACAGCGTCAGTTTGTGCCATCGTGCCTGCGGGCACAACAGCTCTTGTGTACACCACAGCGCCTGCGTACATCACATCAGCCGTGTGCAACACAACACCAGTGTACACCACAATGTGTGCGCTCATTGGATTGCCTGTGTGCACCACGGCGCCTGTGTGCACCACAGCAATCGTGTGCAACACAGCATCATTGTTGCATATAGAATGTTAGAAGTTGTCCTTATGACACAATGGATCGCTTGTGGATTCCACAGAAAACAATCGAAAATCAATTTTCTGGACAAAAAGAGCGCCGCCGGAATCTACGAGTCCTCCAAAGTCCGCCCGCATCACCCTAACTCCTCCCATCTGCGTCCGGGAGTCTCCAGCTAAGTTGGCCGTGTGAGAACCAAGTGGGCCGATTCAATCGACCATTATGAGGTGCACGTTGGGATGCGCACGTGCGCTGTAGCGGAGGAGGGGGAGGAGGAGGAGGAGGAGGAGGAGGAGGAGGAGGGGGTGGACGGAGGAGGAGGGAGGTTGGAAGAACGTCGCATTCGATTATCAGCACTTTCTTGTCGTGGCGTTTGGTTGTCCTTCGCACATCCTCACTTACAGGCTCCTTCTACTTGTCCCATGCACGCAGGCACCGTGGTGTACACCAGCGCTGCGTTGCACGCGGATGCTCTGGTGTAGACAGGCGCTGTGGCGTGCACGCGCGCTGCGGTGCACGCAAGCATACTTGCACAGGGTTGTTGCGGTGTACACATGTACACCGGCGCCATAATGTCGTAAGCATTGTGGTGTACACAGGCGTTGCGTTGCATACGGTTGTTGCGGTGTACGCAGGCGCTGTGGTGTACACGCGCGCTGTGGTGCACGCGAGCGTTGTGGTGTACACACGCGCAGTGGGGCAGATCGCCACCTACATGCTGCTCGCGTCGTCGTCGTCGTTGTTGCTCGTCGCTCGTCGCGTTGTGCGCGCGGGCGCGGCTGTGGTGCCGGAGCCCCGCGGCGGGGGGGGTCTTACGTCATACCCCCGCCCCCCTCCCTTCATGACGCCCGTCATCGCCGAACAGAAAGAAATGCGTTTTTTGACGCCTGTTTCGAGCAGGTATATTCTCGTTTCTAAAAAGAGAATCGACTATACATCCCCCCCCCCGGCGTTGTCCGCCCCTTTTTCGGGTATGTAAATCATATACGATTTTGACCACATGTCCATCCGAAATATGAATCTACACTATCCCAGGGGGGCCGGTATCGGCCCCTCTGAGGTTTTTTGTAAAACACCATACGCGGGGATATTTTTTCTAACATAAGAATTTGTCACGGATCCCTTGCAACGAATTTGACGAAGTGCACACGCGCGCGCGTCGTCACGCGCGCATGCCGAAACCCTCCAAAAACCTTTGGTATCTGAAGGATTTCGCAATCGAGTTCCCAAACAAAAACACAAAAACAAAGGGTTTCGCAACACTGATGTGCTAAAAAAGCTTACGCCCGAGCTCTTGCGAAATCTGAAGAAAAAACCATAGGTTCTTCAATATTTGCACAACATGCTACCAAACGGGTTTCGCGAGCTCGCATGTCGAAATCTGTCGAACGCCCTTGCGCGTGTGCCGTCGCGAAGATCCTCTGCAAAAAATGGGACGAAGTGCAGACGCGCGCGTCGTCGCGCGCGTATGCCGAAATCCTTCAAAACCCATCGGCTTGGGAAGGAGTTCGACATCGTATGTCCAAAAAACTACAAAAACACAAGGTTTCGCAACACGGATTTTCAACAAAAGCGTGCGCGCGCTCTTGCGTCGTCGTCGTCGTCGTCGCCGTCCTCCCTCCTCCCGCGTCGTCGTCGTCGTCGTCGTCGCCTACGTCGTCCTCTTGTCTTTCCTCGTGTTCGTCGTCGTCGTCCTTTTTGGCGTCGTGGTCGTTTCCGTCGTCGTTGTCGCCGTGGTCGTCCTTCCTCCTCCTCCCTCGTCGTCGTCGTCGTCCGTCGTCGGCGTCTCGTCGTCGTCCCTCCTATTTCGTCGCCGTCGTCGTCGTCGTCGTCGTCGTCTTCCCTCCTCCCTCGTCGTTGCCGTCGTCGGCGTCGCCGTCCTTCCTCCTTCTTCGTCGTTCGCGTCGTCGCCATCTTCCCTCCTCCCTCGTCGTTGTCGTCGTTGTCGTCATTGTCGCCGTCGTCGTCCTCCATCCTCCCTCGTCGTCGTCTTCGTTGGCGACGTCGTCGTCGTCTTCGTCGTCGTCGTCGTTGGCGTCGGCGTCGTCGTCTTCGTCGTCGTCGACGTCGGTGTCGTCGTCGCCGCCGCCGTCGTCGTCGTCGTCGTCGTCGGCGTCGTTGACGTCGTCGTCGTCGTCGTCGGTGACGTCGTTGTCGTCGTCGGCGTCGTCATCGTCGTCGTCGTTGTCATCGTCGTCGTCGTCGGCGTCGGCGTCGGCGTCGTTGTCGGCGGCGTCGTCGTCGTCGTTGTCGCTGTCGTCGTCGGCGTCGCTGTCGCTGCCAAGTGCCATTCGGTACCCACTGTCACGGTCTTAAGGGATTCTGCAAACCAAGTTGCGGGTGGGTGGGTGGGATGTTTGCGCGAGCTGTGCAGTGGACAACTCACTACGAACAGAAATTAAGTCGCCCCCATAGGACGCACTGTCGCAAACAGTCGCGTTAAGCAGAGGTCCGGGGCCAAACCTCCCCCCCCCGCTTCCCCGCCCCCTTCCGCCCAATGTCGAAATGCCGAAAGAGAAAACGCTCACAAGCGCGGCCGACGAGCCAAACATGGCGGTTCCTCCCTTGCCTGGCCCATCCTTTTGAGGGCTCTTGGATGCTCCTTTTGTCCCCTGCGATCCAGGCGCTGCCATTTTTCCGCAACGGGCGTTGTTTCGGCCAGGGCTGGGCCCTGGGGCCATAACATTCTGGTCCGGTCGGAAGATATGCAGCAGAATCATGGGGTCTGGGAAGCCGTTCGTGATGGTTCGCGGTGTTGCTTCTTGTGTTCGCAGCGTCGGATCTGCAACGGCTGGATCCGCTTGAAAAGCGCGGGCCGCGATGGACCCCGGGAGGGGTCCGGATATCGATTTTTTGGCAGGTGCTGGCCGGGCGGGGGAGAGCCACCACTGCCTCGGCTCCGCCGCAGCGCAGCTTGGCGGAGCGAGCAGCAATTTGGAGCAGTACGAGAGGGAGGACGAGGAGGGAGGAGGGAGGAGGAGGAGGGAGGAGGAGGAGGAGGAACAGTGTGAGGAGGAGGAGAGGAGGAGAAGGATGAGGAAAAGGAGGAGGAGGAGCACTGCGAGGAGGAGGTTCCGTAACCATTTTGGCTCGAGTTGAAGCCATGGCCCCGTGGCTTCAACTCGACCTCGGCCGGAGGGCTGGCCCAAGGTCCCAGGCCTCGGGGTAGCTCGGCGCGGTCCTTCGGTGGTTTCTTCTTCAGAAGACGATCCTGGGAGCCTCTGATTGTCAGTTGGCCTGGCTTTCCTGCGCCTCCAGTGGTCCACAGTCGTTTGCTCGCGCCACTGGAGGCCACTGGGGGGCTACGGGAGGCCGCTGGGGTTCCAATGGTGGCCATTGGAGGAGCCACTGCGGCCACTCATGTGATTACGAAAGGCTCCCAGGAGCGTCCTCTGAATTCTTCTTCACTGTGAGTGAGGCCGCAGTGAGACGGACGCCTCGGCAAGATTCAGCCGCGTCCGTGGCGGGTTTTGTGGTCACGGAATGCATGAGGTCGGCCCTGTCCTGCTACAGGAGGAATACTTAAGAATAGTAACAAGAAATTGCATGATGACGATTATGTAGTATTTCTGAGCATTGTTTAGAGCATGTGTTTCGATGTGTTTTAATGTTTCGCCGAAGCTCCGCCTGTAGGGGGACATGCCCGACCTAATCGCAGTGAGACGAACACCTCGGCAAGATTCATCCGCGTCCGTGGAGGGTTTTGTGGTCACGGCCGACTCTGTTTCGACACTCTTTCGACACTTTTCCAGGTGCTCAAATTTATTTCTGGAATGTGGTCTTTAAGTACGATGGGAGCAACAGAAGTCACGGCGTGCATCAAATGCGAGGCGTGTGGATGAGGAAAGAGCCAGGTATGGTGGAGATGCTGCGTATGCTGCCGAGGACAAGCGGATCCACTGGAGCCGCCGCCGAGATCACAGCACTGGATTCCTCATGGCGGTCGGTCTCCTGCTCGTGCTCCTCCATGGGGTCGGCGTCGGGCAGCCAACCTGGGGCGTCGCCCATCATCCGTCACCTTCGCCCTCTCACCCGAGTTCCTCGACGTCGGCGATGCGGAGGGTAGCAAGGAGGAGCGACGCCTGTCTCAGTTGGTCGAGCTCCCCACTCAGGAGATGCAACAGCGGCGGTCCACACAGCCCAATCTCGAGCACCACAGGCGAAGCAAGCTGGACAATGACTTGCCAGTGGATTTGGCCAATGCCTTGGAGAACTATTGTGAATTCGCCTTTTCTGCGCAGCGTCAAGAAGTGCGAGCGCCTGGAGCAGGCACTGGCGGAGGCGCCCGGCGCACTGGGGAGTTGCATGCTACCTCCAGCGCGTACCAGGCCGCAGCGCAGAGGTTCCAAAGTGAGGCCACTGCAGAGGATAAGCCTGCCAAGGCGGATGGTCCACCCAAGCTGGACTTGGTTTGTGTCTTGGACGGAGCATATTTCGGGCTGGATGATGGGAGCCTTTTTGAACTGAAGCAGCTCGGGGACGTCGTCATTGGCAGATCGGCGCGAGGCTGCGCGGCACAAAGAGGCATTACAGACGCAGTCCAAAGAGACACTGGGCAACGTGGTCGTAGAGTTGCGCACACTGGGCAGTGTAGCCCACCAAGAGCCACAAAGAATTGCAGTGGTCGTGTGGCCGCAAATAATAGTAACACGTCCAACCCTGGTGGGCAAGTAGCAGATGCACCCCCACTGGCAGCGCCACCAGTAGCGGCATTGACGGCAGTTCCTAGCGAGCTGGCGAGCAGCGAGGACACATGAGCCACGAGCGCAGCTAAACACCAAGCCGGCAGGAGCTGGTTGTGCAGTTGCGGAGGCCAAGGCCAAGTTCGCTGCATCAGGTTCGAAGGCAGCCACAGCGCCAGCGGGAAGCCGCTAAGCGAGGGCAGCACTAGCAGTAGATTTCCGCATGAGCTGGATCAGCATGGTGGTATGGGCGGGCCTGATTCTGTCCATGCCAATGTCCAAACCAGGGTGGTGGATGCATCGTTTTTGACGATTACACATTCGAGCGCGACGTCCGATGCTGAAGCCGAATGTGATCCTCGAGTACTTGCCATCTGCACCACTGGCATGATGACGTGGGTCCTTCTTAAGGCAAACGCGCGGCTGTCTCAGCAGACCACCAGCAGGCGGACGTGGGTATCGATTACAATGCGACGCGGGCAGAGCCCGTGGCATTGGATGTGCATTCCCCAGGAGGGTTCGGCGAGGTCGCGCAGGGCGACTCCGACAGCTTCGGACACTGCGCGAACACCTGCGACCTCGTCTTGGCAGACGGCGCGAAGTGGGCCTTGGGGGGGAAGCAGCGCAAGCAGGATTAGGAGCGAGAGTCACGGCAATGACGCCATCACGTGATTGCGTTGCTGCGTTCCTGAGTATGCACTTGGACGTTTCCAGGCCCGGCGGCCCGCGGCGAGCTGGAGGCGAGGTCCATTTGGGGGCAGCACCGCGCGCCGCATGTCTACCGCGATGTCAGCGAGGCAGCGCGCCGCCACTTTGTCTTACGCGCGATGCGTGAGTTGGGGCTCCACTAACGCGACGCGAGACCCATCGCGGTAAATGCGCGCAAGATCTTGGTCGAGCAGATCCAGGCCCAGGAATGGGCGCCCTAGGTCACCCCTACACTTGCGACTGTGCGCCCGTCCAAACGGCTACGAACAGTTCCCCGCTGACACGTGGGCGGCCAGTGCGGGGCGGCAGCCCGGGCGATGCGGAGACCGCTGGGGGGGGGGGGGGGGCGACCCCTGCCGAGCCGGTCGACCCGGCGAGCTGGCCAGCGCGTGGAAAGACTACTTCGAATAGCGGGGGTTGCTGAGCTACCCCTGGCAGGCCCTTCTTCGACAGTAGGGCTTGTAGGCGCAGATGTTTAGAAGGACCCAAGCCTGAGGGCATCCCTTCCGCGAACAGTTGATCTGGAAGTGAACTGGCCGGCACAGGGTTGTCGTGGCGCCCAGCCCCTATCCACCGAACAGCTACGCATCCGAAAATATCGGTGACTGAAAACGCGCCAGCAGTTGCGACCCAGAACATAGCGTGACCGATATTGTGACCAAACTTGAAGATCGCTTTGGTTTCGACTCAAGAATTTCGGCCACACTCTGACGCGTTCGGAAGACTCGGGCACCAGTTGCGGTCACGCTCGAGCACAATTTCGGTTCCAGTTTCGGTCACTGCACCACCCCGATAAAGACGAGCCTCACGAGCGGCGAACATGTCCGTATCCGCGCCCTCGCGGTCTGGATTCCGGGGCGCGATCCCGCGGATACGCGGTCGCACAGATGCGTTCCGCGCGGGGCATCCGCGAAAAAACGCCCCGTGTCGGCGGGTCGCGGCCGTAGGGCCCGGCCCGCGAGGCCTCGAATACGCACATATTTTCTGCTCACGACGGGTTGCGTGAGAGTTGCCAATTGAAGCCTGGGCCCACGCCCGTTTCGATCCGATCCATCCGATTCGATATCGATTCTTGCCAGCCCGATGCATTTCGATTCTGCTTCCTTGGCGGTCCGACGCAGCCCGATGTTTGCATGGCGTAGTTGTGCATCCTGGCGCGGCCGATCCGATCCCATTCGGGCTCTGTGCCGGTGCGGCCCGCATCTCTTTTGCTCCGATCCGATCCGACGCATCGACTCGATGCTGACTGCTTCCCCAGAGCGCCTCCTCGGCCTGGGCTCCGAGGCCCTGCCCTCCCCGCCCACGGGAGCCAGGAGAGGGCTCGCGCTCCCGGGCGGCGGCGGTGCCCCCCTGCGATCGCGCGCCGCACCAGCGGTCGCCGCCACCGTCGTCGCCGCCGCCGTCGCCGCCGCCACCATCTCACCACCCACCAAACCACCCCAACCCAACCCGAAGGCTCAGATTTACCCTCGATTTCTAATGGGGGGGGGTCCGGGAACATCGAAAAAACACATATGGAGCCCATACCCCCCCCAACCCGAAATTCGGGTCTTCGGGTTGGGTTGGGGTGGTTTGGTAGGTAGTCACCATCGCCGTCGCCGCCGCTGGCCGTCGCCGCCGCTCTCGCCGCAGTGCCCGCCGATCGGGCGGCCACCGCGCCGCCCCGCCGCCCAGAGGACGCGGCGGCGGCGGCCAGCCGGGCCGGCGCGGAGAAGCCGGGCGGCCGGGAGGCCCAGGACGGCCTCCCCCTCGTCACCTGGAGTCCTCGTTTCCTCTTCCTGCTCCTCCTCCAGGCATCACCTCCTCCTCCTCCTCCTCCTCTTTTCCTCCTCCTCCTCCTCCTCTTTTGCTCCTCCTCCTCCTCCTCCTCAAGTCCTCATCTCCTCATCCTCATCCTCCTCATTTCCTCCTCCTCCTCCTCCTCCGCTTTTACTCCTCCTCCTCCTCCCTCCTCCTCCTCCTCCTCCTCCTCCTCAACTCCTCATCTCCTCATCCTCCTCATTTCCTCCTCCTCCTCCTCCTCCGCTTTTCCTCCTCCTCCTCCTCCTCCTCCTCCTCCTCTTCCCCCCCTTCGTACCAAACTACCCTGACGAGTCGGGGGGCGAATTTGAACTCTTTGCTTGTGCATGCGACTTGGGCGGCCCCCTTTCCGCGGGTACTGCTCTCCTCCTCCTCAACATGTTCCTTCATCCTCCGTATCCTTTTCCGCCTCCCCCTCCCCCCCCTCGCTCTGCCCCCCTCGTCGTCGTCCTCGTCCTCGTCGTCCTCCTCCTCATCCTCCTCCTCCTCCTCCTCCTCGTCGTGGTCGTGGTCGTGGTCGTGGTCGTGGTCGTGGTCGTGGTCGTTGTTGCGTTATCGCCGCCGCCTCCGTCGTCGTGGGTCGAGGTCGCCGTCGGGGCCTGGACATGCGATGTCCAGAATGGTTCAAAACGCGGCCCCCGGCAGTCCCGACCCTATCCCCAGCAGTGTTGGTTTCTCGTAAGGGTTTTAAGAGATTTAGAGGGACACCACAGAAGAGTCCCCCAAGGGGGACGGGGAGCACTTGACCGCCCTGTCCGTCAGCCATTTCGCCTGAGACGTCCTCGGCTCAGTCGTCATCTCGCCTCAATGCAGACCACATTTTTGGTCCAGACGGCGGCGATCTCTGGTGAGACATGCTCGAAGATTCACATGGATGCTCTCGACCTCCTCGACCCGCCTCTTCACTTCTGCTGCCAGTAGGGCTTGTTTGCTGAGGCAGTTGGAAGGTCCCGGGTGGGGCCCGTCTAGGGGCCGAAGGTGATCAGACGCCTGCCGTCGTGCTCCTCTCACGACGCGAGCACCTGTGGGTGTCGTGCTCGTGCGGAGGTCGGTGGTCGGCTCCTTCGCAGGCGTGTCGCCTCCGACCAACGATGTTCGTGTCGTCGTGCTCCTTGCGACGACGCGAGCATCGTCGGTCGGAGGCGGAGGATCGGAGACGACGACGGCCACGGCCCCGATGATCCACCCCCCGACATTTCAGAGCAGGCGGAAGGCGAGGGGAAACTTGGATCCGCGCGGGGCGCCATTCTGCTAGACTTAAGCCGGGCGTGTCCATCTACAGGAGGAATATGTTAAGATAGTCAAACAATAGTCAGGGACGAGATTTTGCGTATGTTTGACCATTTTGGAATATTGTTTGACTATCTTTGATTTTCCGCCCGAAAATCGGCCTGTCGGGGGGGCATACCCGACCTAATGCTAGACCCTTCTGCCCGTCCGCAGCCCACTCGCTTCTCCCTCGCTTCCCCCCCCCGCGGTGTCCTCCTCGGCTCCTCGCTCCCCACTCTCCCTCGCCCTTCCTGGGCGCTGCCAAGCGTGCGACTGACGCCTCATCGCCGCGCCCCTCAGTGACCAGCGCAGCGGCGCCCCAGGCGCGCCAAGTCGGTTCCTTTGCCCCCCCCTGGGGCAGCGATGCCAGGCGAGCGACTGCTGCCAATCAGCCGCGCCCCCCTGGGGTCCAGCACGGTTGCGTTCACCTCACGCAAATCAAAGATGCTGCCGCGAGGGCGCCAGTCGCCACTCTGCGCTCCGTGGGCGCTTCCAGGCGCGCAATTGTTATTATTTCCTCGCGAGACGAGAACCCGCTCCCCGCGCGCCCAGCCCAACCCCAGACGTCGGGACACGCGCCCCGCGCTAACAGGACCACCTCCCCGGACTGCAGGCCCCCCCCCCCCCCGACTAGAAGGGCCCCCCCCCGTCCCCCAGACGACAATGACCCCCCCCCCCCCCCCGGACTACAGGGGCTCCCCCGCCCGACTACAGGGCCCTCCCCCTGGACTACCGGACCACCCCCCGGACTACAGGGCTTCCCCCAAAACACTGAGGTACTCAGAGTGCCACCACCATGGCGACACTCAAGACACAGATGACGAATCAAGAGTGCTACGACTTCAGCCCGACTACTGTGGTTGATCTCTGTCTCCGTTATACTGCCAGCATCCATGTTAGTTTCGATATTGCGCCGCTATGCTGTTAGCACCAGTCGTAGAGTAATAGTGGTATGAGTAGTCGTACACGTAATACATATAGCAGCGGTAGAAGCAGTAGTCGTAAAAGTAGTCGTTGTAATTAGTCCTAGCTGTAGCATGAGTAATGACAGTCGTGAGTCCCGTAGTGCTCTGGTAGTTCAGGGTGCGACTAGTATTACTAGTACCACTACTACTGCTACACCTATCTCTACAACAACTACGACCACGACTAGAACTACTACGAATACTACCACTACTGCTACAACAACTGCCACTACCACCACCATTACTACCACGACTGCTACGACTACCGCTACTCACAAGCGTCATTACACATAAGACACATATCACTAACTAGTAATGCTACGACTCAATCTCGACTACAGCGGATAATACTTGAATTTCGTCTTACCGCCACGAGTACCATTAGTTTCGCAATTACGGCGCAGTGCGTACTACGTATTACATAACGGTCCGGCTCATAATACCAGCAGTGACAGAAATAGTAGCATAAGTAGTAGTGCACGTATTAATGGTGGTATTGGTAGGCGCCCTAGTAGTAGGAGTAGTCATTGTAGTCGTCATTCTAGTGAAGTAGTAGCAGTGATGCCACTAGCGCGACTCGTACTACTGCGACTAACAGTGCTACTACGAATCTTTCTTGTTTGCAACTGCTATTGTTTCCACGGTCACCGTCACCGCTGGTCGTCGTTATCGTCACCGCTGGTCGTCTTCTTCATCGTCGTCGCCGCCGCCGCTGGTCGTCGTCGTCGTCGCCGTCCTGGCCGGTCGATGTCGTCGTCGTCGTCGTCGTTGTCGTTACCGTTGTTGTTGTCGTTGTTGTTGCCGTCGCCTTTGGTGGTCGTCGTCGTTGTCTTAGTCTTCGTGGCCTTTGCCGGTACTCCGACCACTGATAGCATTATTGCTACCATCGCAATTGCTAGTACCATGCCCGAACTCGCCACGTCACCAAGACCACCCAACGGCGGCCGGACCCCCCCGTCACGGACGTTAAGGGGGGGATCAAAGAACATTCTCCATTTGTTAGGACGCAAATTTTGGGACGTTAATTTCAGCATCGGTGCTGGTAGATCTGTAGTCGAAAACGGGACCTATCCCAGGACAGTCCCGCGTATAACTTCACAGAGTGCCGCCGACCCCGGCCCAATCAGGCCTACTCTTGGGCTTCATTTGGACAGGTCCTTCGTGGTGGCCCTGCAATCGGGTTTCGTATCCTCTGAGCCCGGACGAGTGCCTCCCAGGAGCTCGTATTTCAGCTGGCCCCCCCCTCACAGTCGAGCCTCTGTGTTCACGCAAAATCATCTGCAAGATGTCCCTTGCACTGTCACGAAGAGCTGCCAATCGTGGACTCTCCTGCCCACGCGTCCTTCGGGATGCTCGGCTCAGCCCTTCCATGCCCCCCTTCTCTTCCCGGACGACGACTGTGCGCACCGTGCCGCACGGGCGACCCACAGAGGCGCCGTCGGTCCACGATCCACCAGCGATGCGGTGCTCCGCGCAGCTCCGGACCAGGGCCCGGAAACGCACGGTGCATGGGCACCGTCGTCGCACGATCGCTCAGGAGGGTGAAATCGGAGGTGGACACCACCACCCACCAAACCACCCCAACCCAACCCGAAGGCTCAGATTTACCCTCGATTTCCAGTGGGGGGGGGTCGGGAAACGTCGAAAAAACACGTGTGGAACCCTTACCCCCCCCAACCCGAAATTCGGGTCTTCGGGTTGGGTTGGGGTGGCCTGGCAGGTAGTCAGGACAGACCTCCTGCCCTGACACGTCGATTGAGGAGTTGGCCGTTTTCGGTTCGCGAGGGGGCGTCGCGGCCGTCATTTTTGCGGGTCCAGGTCCGTCGGTTTCGGTCCCAGGCCGTTTTCGCTAAGGGGAGGTTTACTAAAGGGAGGTTGGTCCACCGCCGAAGAAAACACAGACACAAATAATAGCCGATCCTCATGGGGATATGGATCACGTGGGGAGTGGAAGGGGAAGGCATACATCCAGAAACTGCGGCAGAACAAGGGGGGATCCCGGGCAGCCTATTCCTTTTGTGTGTCCCTGGGCCCTTGCAATCTCGGCAGCGAGCACCATGGGGAAGTGAGACGGGGCAGGCCTTCCCAGACGGCTCGGAAGTCCCCCGGCCCTCTGAGAAGTTGTCTTCGCCTTCCCCGAAGATGCACAAAATTCACCAGAAGGCGCGAGAGGTTCTGAGAAGTCCCGCCGCCTTCTCAGAAGGTCTCCTCCTTCTCATTCCCCCCCCCGTCGCTCACCGCCGAAATCGGCTTCCGGGTCATCTCTCGGGTCTCTGGCGGCCGTTCGGGATGATCCGGGCACCCCGGAACGCCCTCGGCGAAGGGCAGCCGCTCGACCGCATCCCCAGCGTGGAAGACCGCCGAGGACCGACGAAGACGCCCGCAAGCCTCGAGCCTCGAACCCGGCCCATCTCAGAGCTGCGGGGGCCGGCGCGGGCGGCCCCGGCAGCGGCGCTGGGGGCAGAGAAGGGAAGGGGGCAGGGAGGAGGAGGAGGAGGAGGAGGAGGAGGAGGAGGAGGATAAGGAGAAGGAGGAGGATGAGGAGGACGTGGACGAGGACCAGGACGAGGAGGAGGACCCGGACGCGGACGCGAGTCGTTCCCCCGATCGGCGGGGGCGGCGGCTGCGGGCGGCCGCGGCGGCGCGCGGACGAGCGGCGGCGCACGGGGGCGGCCGGCGCAGGACGGGGGCCGCGCGCCGCCGCCCCGTGCCGCCGAGGCGCGGCCCCGTCGTGGGCCCCTGCTGCGGCAGGAGGGGGAGGACGAGGAGGGGGACGACCAGGAGGGGGAGGCAGGGAGGAGGTTGGAGGCTTGGAATTTGGCACCAACGCCAACACACGGGCATGACTCAACCGGGGGGAGATGATCCTGGAATTCGGTGTTGGCGGTAATACTTCGGCCAGCTAGGAAGTCAAACCGTTACCACCATCACCTAGATCGGGAGCACCTTCCCTCGGTGGAGGCACACCGCCGATATTGGTGTTGGTGTCAACCTCTAGGCCTCCCAGGAGGGAGGCAGGGAGGAGGGAGGAGGGCAGGCAGGAGGAGGGAGGGAGGGGCAGGGAGGGAGGGAGGGAGGGAGGGAGGGAGGGAGGAGGAGGAGGAGGAGGAGGAGGAGGAGGAGGAGGAGAGGAGGAGGAGGAGGAGGAGGAGGAGGGAGGCAGGGACTCCGCCGCAGGCCGCCGACCTGTGCAGCGATGCCAGGGATGATTTGGCTGCCGACTCCAGGGATGTCAAGCACGGTCGGGCCGAGGCAGAAGTCGGGTGTAACCAGAAACGCAGGTAAGGGGTCCCAGTTAGTAAAGTAGTAGGGCCCCCGAGCTCCTAAATTGGCCAGAATCCCTAAACCAGGTCTGCCGTAGCTGGTGTTTTTTCGGGTGACGGCAGTTCCGGTTAGTGGAATGGGGCGGGAGGGCGTCCCCCAGTCTTTATCATTAAACCAGGTCCCACTAAACCCAGTCTTGCCATCGCCCGAATAGATCGAGGTCGGTTCGGCCGATAGCCAGAGGCCTAGAAGTCAACCATACATATTTTCGCGGAGCTTTCGGTCTGGAAGTATCCTGGTAGCTTCCTCGGGCCATCCTGGGGCCCAAATTGGACAGTTCTGGGAGCCTCTTGGGGCTCTCCTGGAGCCCGGCTGGGGCCCTCTTGCGGGTCGTGGGTGCCATTTTTGAGGCCATCGGCGAAAGACATCGGGTTCTCAATTGGCGCCCCGTTGTTGTACAGTCGGACCGAGGTACGTATAAGATTGAGGTCAGTTAGGGAAGGGTGCCCTCATGTTCTGCGTGCTCGGTGGGCGTTATTGTGCATCCTGGGGAGGGTGCCCTTGAACGTGCTGTGTGTTTCGGCCGGCGGAGGGTCTCATGTTCTTGGAGGCAGGGAGGAAGAGGAGCGTATGCAGAGGAGGAGGAAGAGGAGGAGGACGACGACGTCATCACCCTCTCCTCCTCTGGCCTCCTTCCTCTGAACCGTTTCGGCTCGGGCATTGGTGATATTGCGCGCAAGCCCGGGCTTGCACCCGCGTGCTTCGAAGCGGCTCGCGGGTGCGAGCCAATCGCCGCGGCGAGCCCGCCTTGCCCATGGCACCGCGCGATGGTGCGCCTGTTAAGCGAGCTCAACCGAAAGAGATGCAATGGAAGTGTCAGGGAAGCTGCGGCGGCTGCCCCAACAACTTTCAGGAGGGGAAAAAACACACAGACACAATTAATCGTCGATCCCCAGGAAAATATGGGAAAATATGGGAATTGGGGGGGAAGACAAAAACCCAGAAAATATGGGAAAATATGGGGACTATTTTTATTTGTGTGTATTTATTTGTGTGTCCTAATTTCCCTTTAAACTTGTCTCGTCCCAAAAATGCAGGTTCTGCGGTGCCAGCGCGCCGCCTCCAGGTCTTGGTTACGCACAAGGACTTCGTACTCCTCCTCCTCCTCCTCCTCCTCCTCCTCCTCCTCCTCCTCCTCCTCCTCCTCCTCCTCCCTCCTCCTCCTCCTCCTCCTCCTCCTCCTCTCCTCCTCCTCCCCCCCCCTCCCCTCCCCCTCCCCCTCCCCCCCCTCCTCCTCCTCCTCCTCCTCCTCCTCCTCCTCCTTACGCTTGGTGTTGCGCCATGGACCTGCCCTGGCCGTGTCGAGGCGAGAGGCGGAGGTGGCTCGCCAGAGCCTCGAACCGAAAGCGAAGCCGCCAAGGCCGACGAAATAGGACACCGACGAGGAATGGGCCGCCAACTTCGCCGACACGCCGGAGCCAGAGGGGAAGCCTGCGCCGGACGGCCTGGGCGGAGCTCCTGGCGCTGGCCGACGAGAAGCTAGGGGCTGTAGGCAAAGAGGGCCTCCCGCCGGAACAGCTGACGGTCGCCGAGCCTCATGCCCTTGCGCCCGTGGACCTGTCGACGAAACCGTTCTCACAGGTGTTGCAGCGGGTCGCCGACAAACGCAGCCAATGCGAAAAGAGCGAGACCCGTGTGGCCCACAAGGCGGAGCTCCTGGCATGGGCGCAGCAGGCGAACGACGAAGAGCTGCGACAGCTGCGTGAACACAGGCCAAGTTGGCGGAGCTCTAGAAGCGCGCGCAGACCAAGAGGATCCAGGAGGCAGCCGAGGCGCTCAAGCTGCCAGGCCTCGGGCTGCAGCAGTTCGGGGCCAGCGGGCAGCAACTCGCAGGGGGGCATCGCCGCAGCCGCGAGGAGGCCGAGAGGGCAGCCAAGCAAGCTGCCGCCGCGGCCGCCGCAGCCCAGGGCCCCCCCTGCAGAGGCTACTCCTGCTTGGACTGCTCCTTTTGGGCGCTACAGCAGGATGGCCGTGGATCTCGACACCCCAGACTTCGACGTCGACGAGCGTCTGCTCGGAGGGGTCAATGAATGATTCGAGGACTGCGGCTCCACCATGCGTGCCTTCGACCCCGGGAATGAGGGAGACAGAGCTAAGCTCAAGCGCATCGCCCAGTCTTTCAAGGGACCCACGTGTCTGACAGCGGGTTCGACGATGCACGGCGTGGCCCGAGGTTCTCGGTCATGGGCCCGCGCGCGCAGCGGAGGGCACGCCAGCGCACCGCTGGCGAACAGGAAGCTGTTAGCCCAGCGGAGAGCCAGCAGAGGCGCCCCCGCGCGCCCCCACCCTGATGTTCAGGAGTCGTCGCCGACGGGCGGGTGGCCGATGTGTGATGCCTTCTCCTTGTCCCTGTCGACGGGCGGCATCGGGCGGGCGGTCGATGTCTTCTCGGGCGACGCCCCCCCATCGGACCCCGTCGACGGTCGGCCGTCGGCCCCAGGGGCGGGGCCTCAGGGGGCGGCGAGTCGGCCCGCAATGGGGGGGTGGGCGTCTCGAGCCCGCCGACCCCGATGCACCGGCGAGTGGGCGAGCAGATAAACAGCCCCACGTCGCGTGACTCCAGGAACGCCGCCTGCTGGTCCAGGGGCGCATCGAATCGGCAAGGAAGTAACCGGCTAGTGCTTCCCCCCGCGCGCTGGACTGGCCGCGGCGACTGGCGCTGGGCGGCAGGGCAGCTCAGGAGGGCGCGCCGCGCCGGCTGTCCCTGCGGCGCGCAGCGTCAGGCTGGCCAGGGCTCCCCGATCTGCGGGCCGTCCTTTCACCCCCTGGGCAGCGCGGGGGCGCGGGGGGCCAACGTCGAGTATTTGGGGGCCCTGATGCAGCGGGCTGGCGGGCTGAAGTGGCCCGGGGTAGTGGCGGCGGACTGGAACGTCGAGCCCGCGGACTTGACCTCGCGGGGCAAGAAGGCCAGCGCCGCGCCAGTGCGACCGCGGGCCCCCGCGAGCGGAGCTAATGAGTATGGCTACGCGATTATGTCCGAGGTGCTCTCGAGCAGGTTCGACACCCTGCCGGCGCTCAGCGGCGGGCCCACCTCGCCCCACTCGGCGGCGGAGGCGGCGTTCTGGGGGCCCCATCGGCGCACCCCGATCACGTCGGCGCTGCGCCCCGGCAAGTTCCCCGCCGATCACGAGCCGCCCGCGGAGCAAGCGCCGCTGCTCTTGGGGGCGCAGGACTCGAGGTGGCAGATCGGCGAGCTCCCCGAGAGCTGCGCGGAGCAGGCGTCGAAGTTCCAGCGGGCCATGGCGTCGGACGAACCCGGCCAGGCTCAACGGCCTGGGCGAGGCCGTCACCTAGCAGCCCGGCGGCAGGGGCGCCGGGCTCAAGGTGGAGCAGGCGCCGCTCGCGCAGGGGTGGGCCGCCGCGCCCAGGGCCACGACCAGCCCAGCCCGTCGCCTGCGGGCAGGGTTCCTGGCCGCCTGCCGCCGAGCAGCGGCGCTGCGAGGATGCCTGGAGGACTCCAGCTGGAGACGCTGCAGCAAGCCCGAGGGTCAGATACGTGTCGCCAGGCGCTTCGTGATTGCGGCGGACGGCTGGGCGCGCGACGGTCAGCTTGCCGGCTTGGGCGTCGACGCCGTCGCACGCGCGGCGGAGTGGAGGTTGCTCCGCGCGCGCCGCAGGCTGTCGCTGTGGAGATCGCCAAACACACCCAGGCCACGCAGCTGCGAGACAGAGCTTAAAGGAGTGCTGAACCGAAAGCGGCCGCAGAAGCGGGGGGACGCGACGCCTGCAGGTTCTTCCAGGGTTCCAAGATCAGGCCAACCATCCTGGAGAGTCACGACGGCAGTGCGGAGGCCGAGCCGCTGCCACTCGCACGTGGTGTTGCAATGAAGGTGCTGATGGCAGAATGGAGGGCCCTCTGAGACTGGCCGCGCCCTGAGCGCGAAGCCGACTCCGACCCGCTCGCGCGGGCGTCTGACTCCGACGGATGTTGGGAGGGGTTGCCCCCCATCACCATGGGGGTGCTCGACTCGGCCCTCGCCCCGTGCAGCGACGGCGCGGCGGCCGGGCCGGACAGGACACACCTGGAGCAGATTCGCCGGCTGCCGCTCCACTGCCGCCAGGCCTTCCTGGGCGCGGTGCGCCCCTGGGGGCGCGGGCCGACCGGGCGCTTCCCGTCGCCGATTCCGGTGGCCTTGCCCGCGCCCCAGCCAGCCAAGTGGGAGCAGCGGATCGACTCCCCCTTGCGCTGGGGCAGCGCGGGCAGGACGTGGGAGGAGGCTGGGGCGGCAGATCGCGGCATGCGCGAGCCGCCAGCACCTCGGCGATTGACCTCGCGAAGTATTGCGAATTCAGTTGCCGCCGCGCGAGCTGAGGGAGGAAGCAGTTGTGACGGTCTCTCCGCCGGTGCTGCGGCGCGCTCTGCGCTCGTCGCACCGCGCCCAGCGTTGGGCCCTGCTGGGCAGCGGGATCCGCGCCATCGCGGGGCCGAGCGGCGTCGTCGCGGCGACGCGGTGCTCGCGCTCGGTGGGAGTCGCCAAGTTGCTCACCCACACCCCACTAAAGAGGATTGTGGTCGGGTCGCCGATCGTTCGCGCGCAGAGTTCGGTCGACGACCGCTTGCCCCAGGCAGTCGGGGCCGCGCGCTTGGCGGCCGAGCAGCTGCTCGCTGCGGCCCAGGAGCTCTGGCCGGTTGTGGACGCCGAGGTCGCCTCGGCCCTCGGCGAGCGCCGGGGCTCTGCAGGGCTCAAGAGGCGCGCGGGTCTGCGGCGCCTGAGGGGCGACGGCAACGACTACGGCCGACGCCGAGTACAAACGAGAGGCCACGCAAGGCCGGCAAGACGGCCGTCATGGTCGAGCTGCTGCAGTCGGCCGCGGCCAAGGCGCGCGACCTGTCTCGCGGGTCGCCGCGCGCCGCGGCGGCGCGGGGCCAAGCCGTCATTGGCGTCGCCGACGGCGAGCTGCACGGGCTGAGGGCCCACGCGTTGGTTTCGCCGGTGCTAAGAGTGAATTCAGCGTGGATTTGCGTCTTCGTTTTTCATTTTTATTTTCCTTTTTTTTCTGATATGCTCACGTCAATCGATCATGTGGCTCGGGCGTTCGTGTGAATGCCGCGTGGTCAGCGAATTTCGAATGTCTTCCGTGCCCTTGATTCTTCCTCATCGTATTCATTTATCTTATTCCTCTTGCCTGCATGGTTTTTCTCTTTATTTCCCTCCCGTTGTCATCTTCTTTTGTCAGGGCCTGCGGCAGGATCCAACAGGGCGCCGGGAAAGCTGCATGTGAGCTCGAGGAGAGTCCAGCAGGTCCCGAGAAGGATTGCAAGCAGGCCCTAGGGTCCCAAGACAGGCTTTGTAGGGGTCCAAAACAACTTGCAGACCTGTCTCCTCGCATATGTTCTGACGCGCTTCGGCCGTGGTCCGCGGGATTTTACTGTTCATCCGCCTTTTTGCCTTCATTTCCGACGTCTCGCGTATTTCCGCCAGCCAAGGCAAGAGCAATCATCAGGCGAGTTGCCTCGATCAGCACGTGTAGCAGCATGCGGCGCCGCAGCGAACCGAATGCGTTTTCACCGGTTCTGCACGGGGGGGGGAAGAGGAGGTGGAGGAAGCGAAGGAACAAATCTGGTGGCGAAGGACCAGTAGTAACGAAAGAAGAGGAACAGCAAAAGGATGGGCGCGCGCTGGAGGAAACAGCAACATGCTAGAGCATGAGAAGGTCGGAAGGATGATGAGGGACCTGAGGGGGGGGGGAGGGTTACGAGGAGCCACGGGGAGGCAGCGACCGCATTGGTGATCCGCGCAGAACACCAGTGCGCCGCATCCTTTCGTAAACGAGGATGTAGGAATGTGCCAGGCGGGGAGGTGGGGGGGGGGGCATGGGGGAGGTAGGAGGACATGGGGGCAAGAACGCTCAGGACGAAGCAGTTCCGGAGACGGTGCCCAGGCAAATTGCGTTGATCAGAAACGTGTTCCAGCATGGTGCTCAACCAAGAGGGCGACGCTGTTTACGTTAGAAACGTGAGGACGGCGCAGGAGGAATCGGAGGATTAACAGCAGCGGGGAAGGAGGACAAGGAGGAGGATGACGAGGAAGCGGAGGAGGGGCGGGATGAGGACGCGGAGTAGGAAAAGGAAGGATGGGAGAGAAAAAGTCACGACGACGGCCAGAATCAATCATGGAGGATTTTGTTCTCCACATCCAAAGTGGGGTTCTTGTTTTCTCTGGGCACCCCGCGCAGGAACAGGACAGGAACGCGCACACACCCACTCACACTCACTCACACTCTCATCATCAACCTCATCAGCATCATCGATGATGCTCTCTCACATGCTTAGTCACTCACATACTCATCATCATCATCACTCGCACTCTCTCACACGCTCCCGAACATCATCATCATCATCATCATCGGCATCGGCATCATCCTCATTCTAACATCATCATCGCCACCACCACTCACAATCAATCATCATCCTCTTCACCACTCATCTTCACCACCACTCATCATCCTCATCCTCATCATCGTTGAGTAAATTGTGAGGAAGTCTCAGGCGGGAGCCCCCTCCCTATGGGGCCCGCAGATCATGTTGGAAATCCGAGCGGGTCATCGGAAACCTATAACTGTCGTCACTTTTGGGCTCGTCAAGCCTGAAAATGGAGGAAGTCTCAGGCGGGAGCCTCGTCTGTGAGTGAATTGGGAGGAAGTCTCAGGCGGGAGCTCCCTCCCTATGGGGCCCGCAGATCACGTTGGTAATCCGAGCGGGTGATCGGAAACTTGTAACTGTCGTCACTTTTGGGCTCCCCAAGCCTAAATTTGGAGGAAGTCTCAGGCGGGAGCCTCGTCTGTGAGTGAATTCTGAGGAAGGCTCAGGCGGGAGCCCCCTCCCTATGGGGCCCGCAGATCATGTTGGTAATCCGAGCGGGTCATCGGAAACCTGTAACTGTCGTCACTTTTGGGCTCGTCAAGCCTGAATTTGGAGGAAGTCTCAGGCGGGAGCCTCGTCTCTGAGTGAATTGTGAGGAAGTCTCAGGCGGGAGCCCACTCCCTATGGGGCCCGCAGATCACGTTGGTAATCCGAGCGGGTCAACGGAAACTTGTAACTGTCGTCACTTTTGGGCTCCTCAAGCCTGAATATGGAGGAAGTCTCAGGCGGGAGCCTCGTCTCTGAGTGAATTGTGAGGAAGTCTCAGGCGGGAGCCCCCTCCCTATGGGGCCCGCAGATCATGTTGGTAATCCGAGCGGGTCATCGGAACCTTGTAACTGTCGTCACTTTTGGGTTCCTCAAGCCTGAATATGGAGGAAGTCTCAGGCGGGAGCCTCGTCTCTGAGTGAACTGCGAGGAAGTCTCAGGCGGGGGCCCCCTCCCTATGGGGCCCGCAGATCATGTTGGCAATCCGAGCGGGTCATCCAACACCTGTAACTGTCGTCAATTTTGGGTTCTCGCGCTGCCAGAACGCAGTTCCCAGGCCACTTTTTGGAAGCAACAAGGAAGTTTTTGGGCCCCTCAGGTCGCCGAGGTGCTGCGACAGGGCGCCGAAGGCGCCGACGACGACGGCCAGGCCGAGGCGCGGGCGCGGAGCTTGCTGATGTTCAGGCCCAGCGAAAGGGAGTTCACATGGCAGAGCTCGGGGGCGCACAGCGTGCGCCGCTCGGGGTTCACCCTGACGCACGCGCCCTACCTGACCTCCACGCTGTCGCAGGGCCAGACGCTGCGCAAGGGCGTCACCATCGACTGCGCGAGAGACGAGGACGCTGGCCGCACGGGCATGTCGGACGAGCAGTGGTGGCTGCACCTCTACGTCATGTTCTCCCGCGCCACGTGCATGCGGAACATGCTGATCCTGCGGCCGCCGCCGCGAGAGTTCCTGGAGTGCGGGCCGCCGGCGTCCCTGCGGGAGGCGCTCCTGGAGTTCGACAAGAGAGCGGTTTTGTCCAGGGCGGAGGCGAAGCAGCTCGCGGCAGAGCTGGGCTTCGCGCTGCCTTCCGCCTGAGCGCGGCTGCGCCTCGCTCGAAGCCCGCGGGGCTGTCCCAACGGCTTGGTCTTGCGCGCCAACGGCTCGCGGGGTTGTCCCGACAGCCTGGCCCGCGGGGTTGTCCCAACGGCTGCGCGACGTGACCAGTAGAGAACGCGCCTGTGCTGGCCGTGGCGGCGACGGCGCCGAGGAACATCGACATGCGCGCTCGTGCAACAGGAAGGGGAGGAGGTGGCGGGGCGCGGAACAAACAGGGGGGCGAGGATGGGGACAACGTAAGGAGTGGAAGGGGGGCCCGCGCCAAGGCGAGAGGAAATATACGCAGAAGAGACAGCCAGGGCGCCTCGCCAACCACGAGGACGACGGTGATGGCTTTTTCCAGATTCGCCCAGAGGATTCTCATGTGGGGTTCTTCCGTCGGAGTAATTTGTTTTTCGCACACGGCTCTTATTAGAAGCCCCATTGGGGTGATTTGTGGGCCATTGTGGAGCTAATTTTGAGCCATTTTGGGAGGGCCTACGGGGTCCTCTTGAGGCTGTTTCGGGCCTCCTTGGGATCCTCTTCGGGGTCTCGTGGGCCCGTCTTGGAGGCCTTGGGTGCCCTCTCGGGGCCATCTTGGAAACGCCGCCAGTCAAAGAGTACGGGGGGAGGGTCCTTGCAGCGCCCCGTCTCTGGAGCCGCCCACGTCGCCTCTTGGCGCTCTCTTGGGGCGTTCTTCGGCTGCTCTTGAGCACTCTCGGCGCCGTCTTGGGGCCTGTCGGGTTCTTCTGGAGGGCCATCTCAGGCCAGCGCGGCCATCTTGATGCCTCAAGAGCCCATGGAAAACGAAAAAGGCGACGAGACATAACACAAAGCACGCAATGGTTTTCACTTTTTTTTGTCTTGGAGGCCTCCTTGGAGAGCTCGAAGGGCACGCGGGGCCGTCTTGACGCGGTCGTGACGACTCTCAGAGGCATGTTGAAGGCTATTCGGAATCGTCCTGGGATGCATTGAGCGATATTGGAGGCGTATTTGGGCTCCTTGCAGCCATCTCGGATACATTTTGGGCCGTATTCGGCGCTCCAACGACCCGCTGCCACCTTCCCGCGCATGAAGGATTGGGCGGGGAAATGGGGAACCGTGTCCATGAAGGGGAAGAGTGGGATTGGATGAATTACTTCGTCACGCCGCTCACGCTTAAAGGGGTGCTGGGATTCCTGTCTCCCTCCGGCCCTCTCCCGCGGCGTGCCCCCCCCCCCTCCCTCCCTGTGACTTCTCCCCCCCCTCCCTCCCTCCTTCCAGGCTCCGCGCGCGGCCGAGTGAAAACTTCGGGGAGAAACACAACAACTCGTCTTGAATACCTCTCCGAATTCTTGGTGGATTTTTCCTTGGGCGCGCGCGTCGAAAAAACACGCGCGGAAAAATCCGGGGGGCACCCGGAAAAATTCACGCGGTTTCCGGGGCAAACTCACATTTGGATTTGGAAAAATCCGGGCAGAATTCACTCGAGAATCCGGGATAGTATTCCCAGGCGGTCGTGGACAAATCCCACCAGCCATGCAGAGCGTGGGCGGCGGTTTAAAGGGCTAGCTTATCCGCGCGTTTCTCCCTGGCAGGGACGGGGGCCCCCCCCCTGCCCTCTCTCGTCCCCGGGCGTGGGCAGAGAGTGGCCGCGGGGCGGTGGAGTGCCCGAAATGGCCGAAGATGTCTCCAAAGGAACCGCAGGCAACCCAAGAAGGATTCCGAGATCGCTCCATATACTTGCAGATGGTACAATGTTGCTTCCAATGCGCCTCCAAGCCCCCTCAAGACCGTTTCGTGACAGCCCGCAATTATCTTTCGAGCTCTTGAAGGAGGCCTCCAACAGGTTCACCTCCTTTACAATCACTGTGCGCTTCATTTTTTTCCTTCTCGCCTTTTTGCTTTCCGTAGTTTCTAGAGGCCTCGAGATGGCTGCGAGTTGGTTTGAATTTGCTTTGAGAGGGGGCCATCGGGGCCCAAGTCGGCTTCAAGAGCACCAAAGAGCGGCCCAAAACGCTTCAAGGGCGTCGCAAGAGGGCCGCATTTGGCGACTGGGGGGCTCGAGAAGGAATGGGGCGTTGCTAGGGCCCCACTTCTTTGACAGACGGCTTCAATCTGGCCCCGGGAGGGCCCCCGAGGCTTCCAGAGGGGCCCAGGAGATCCCCGAAACGACCCGAAGAGGGCCCCGAGGGGCTCCAAGACAGCCGCCAAAGGCAGCCATAATTGCCCTAAGAGAGCGCCGCGGCGGCACCGATATGGCGACGTTGATGGGGCGCCCCGCAGGCACCTAGAGCGAGCGACTCGAGATCCTCGATGATTGATGCCCGTCGTCGTCAGCGTGTTTTTTTTTTTTCTCTATCCTTTATCTTTCCCTTCCTTGTCCTCCTCCTCCTCCTCGTCCCTCTTCCGTGACCTCCTCCTTTTTCTGCTCCCTCCCCGTTCCTGTGTATCTTCCGATTAATTACTCCTGCGCCCTTTTCTTTCCCTAATGCAACGGTTGTCATCTTTTTTTTCTTGCTTTGCATGCTGCTTCACTTCGCTTTCATGTTTAGCGCAACTTGCTTGGGATTCGAGTCTGCAAATGCTTTCTTCTGCATGTTTTTGCCCCTCCTATTCCCTCCTACTTCCCCCTGCTCTTGATCCTCCCACCTCTTCCTACACCCTCGCTGGTGATGGGCGCACGGCGCACGCGCGTTCCGCGCGGATCACTGGTGCGCCTTTTGCCTCCCTCAGGCTTCTTGTGCTTCTTCCTACCTCCCCCAAGCTCCTCTTCCGTGCCCCTACCTGCTCATGCTCTTGCACGTTTCCAGTCTTTCCTGTCACCATACTTCCTCTCTTCACCGTGTTCATTATGATTTTCATTTTCCGCCCACCTCCTTTGCTCCGCTTCCTGCACCTCATCATCCGCGAATGCGGATGCGGCTCGCTATTTTCGCCGCTTGCCCGATTACCCGGCCTTGATCAGGGCGACTCGCCTCGCGGTTGTTCATGGATTGGCTCGTGAGGATCTGAGCAACGCGTCAATGACTTCAGCGGGCGTCTAGGTGTTATTGTTGGCGCATGGGCGTTGCCGCTGGGGTTTACCGCGGGCCAGTATGATTAACAATTGCAAGCGGCGCGTTGGCAGGCATTCGCCTTCCTGGAGACATCTGTCTGGTTTCGCAGTGACCTTCTTTCGCACTGCTCTTGTTTATTTGCCTCCAGTTTGCGGCTGTATGTTTGTAGCTGAGCCCCATCAGACGGCTATAATTCCGCTGCCCTCGCTCGATGTATAACCGTCCCCGCCGCAATGCTCGTGAGCTTTCCGGTGGGCTGATCATTCGTGGTTTTGTCTGCAGTTGGACTGCGGGCGGAACGCGGGCGCCGCTTATGCAGCATTCCATTGTTCGTTTTCCTCTGAGGGCATCCGCAGTGGATTTTGCGCGCGTTTGTTTTTTTTTTGCTGAGCAGATCAGTTCAATAAGATCTGTCGTTGTTCGGCACGAGGCCACTAAAATGAAATTTGAAAAGGAAAAAATATCCACGCGTCCCTTCATAGCCCTTGGCGAAGCCAACGCGCGCTGAGGGCCCTGGGCCGCCCGGCCCCTGGGGCCTCCATCGGCCTGCGCGCCCGCGCGATGAGCGGGGCGATCCACCGAGACCCCTGCAGGCGGCGCGCAGCGCGGAGACAGGCGAGGCCCAGGCGACGGCGGTCGACGACGGGCAGCGGCTGACCAACAATGCGGTGCTCGACGAGATCCGCAGGCGCGGGCAGGAGATAGAGTCGCGGCGCCGACCATGGGCCGTGCGCACTGGCCCGAGCTGGGCTGCAGTGCTGACTTTTTCGCGAGTCGGCTGCCAGCTGCGCCGGCGCGGCGGCCTTGCCGACCACCTCGGCGGAGATGTGAACTTGTTTTTGTCCGTTCGTTCGGCTCCCTGTGCCAGGTGGCTCGCCAGGCCGCGCTGGCGGCCTCTGATGTCGTGGCTTCGCGTCGGTTTCAGGCCCCGCGGGTGGCGGAGATCCATCGGGCCCCCGCCTTAGCCGAGCTAGCGAAGGACACCTCGGAAGTTCGGTGCAAGAGGCGCATGGATGCGCTTCGGCCCGACAGTGCTGGAGCGCACCTGCGCCAGCAGCGCCCCTATCCTAGCTGGCGGGCCCACTGGCCCCTCTGGCAGGCAGTGCGGCTGCCTTGGCTCGATGTGGCAAAGGGTTTTGACCGCCCTTGTCTTGCTGTCGCTCGGTGGGAGGAGCGTTCTGCTGACTTGCTCGAGGTTGCCAAGATGGCAGAGGCCAGTGTGCCACAAAATGCCGAGCTTTCTGCGCGTGACATCACGGCCTCGCCAGATCGCTGCTGCGGCCAGACGGACGTGACTGATGCTGACCAGTGCAGATTTGTAGGTTGCGCGCCAGGGTGGATGTTCTCGGGCGGCGGCGTTCGCGGATGAGTCGTCGTTCTTCGCCTCCCACGGTGGCTTGCGCAGGGCGGCTTGGTCGGTGGAGCGCATCGACGATGATGCCAGCTTCCGTTGCGCCATGTACGGAGCTGTCCTCGTTGGCCCGGTCCCCGGGTCAGAGCTGGAGAGGTGCCGGAGGTTTTGCGTATTGCATGCTGTGCAAGTTCTTTGCCTCGCACAACCTGGAAGGCCCCGTGCGTCTTGTTGTTTCTGATTGTGCGGGCGCGGTCGGCTGCGCAACGGACCCAAGGGATGCCTTGTGCCCGTCGGATCCCAATCGTCACTCCTGGACATAATGATGGGCCAAGCACGGCACCCCGCCTACAAAGTAAAACCTCGCACCTACGCCAGCGAGGACGTCTCGTTTGTAGACGCATTGCGCAGGCTCGGCAATGCCGCGGCAGATCGACGGGCCAAGAAAGGAGCCAGCCTGTGGAACACCCCTGAGCAGATAATCTTGTTTGTAGAAGCTTACGAAGCGCGAGCCCAGGAGCTTGTCATATGGGTTGGTCGCGTGAACTCGTGGCTCGTGGACCCAGGTTTTGCCGACGCCGGCGGAGTAGCTGGAACCTCTGGGAGGCGGCGCTGGAGCTCGGCGAGATTGCGGGGCCAGAAGACGAAGTTGCTGCCCTGCACGAGGCTTGGGAGGCCCGCGAGCTCTCAGGGGGGGACAGAAAGTTCGCGATCCCACGCCCGAGCCCGTCGGGGGGCGGTGTGGCGTTCGGGGCGGGGGAGATCGACGGACGGCCGCGGCTCTCTGGGCGCTTTGTGGCGTGTGATGTAGGAGGCGACGCCGACGACCACCCGACCCCGTTCTTCTGTAAGACGCGCGGGGCCTCGGTGATGCCGCGCGCGTCCCCAGGGAAAGGCCTTGCTGCTAAGCGTCTCGGATTTCAGCGTGCGGGTCTCAGGTTCCCGCGTTTTCGCTTCGGGTGCCGCCTGCACCCGTCTGTGGTCTCGTCTCTGGAGCCCGCTGGGTTCAGAGGAGTTAGCGAGAACGCGAGAGGGGAAGCACACACACACACAAACTTACACACACACACACACACACACACTTACACACTTACACACTTACACACATACACACTTACACACTTACACACTTACACACACGAACACACAAAACACACACAAACACACACACACAAACACACACACACACACTTACACACACTTACATACACTTACACACACACACACCGAGGGCGGGCCTCTCCTGGGTGGTTTTCAGGAGCGAACAAACACACAGACACAATGCATCGCCGATTCCCCCGAACATCTGGGACAATCTGGGAAGTGGGGGGGGGGGAAGACAGAAACCCAGAAACTATGGGGAAATAGGGGGGGGATCCTGTTTTTTGTGTCTATTTCTTTGTGCGCCCCAGGGCCCCTGCAGGTTCAGGGTGCGGGTCCCGGGGTGCGCGACGGCCCCTTGCACAGGACCAGGTTCACGTCGGGCCTGGTCCCCCACAGGAGGAACATTCAGAGAGAGTCAAAACACAGTCTGGCGGCGATGTCTTTCGTATTGTTTCTTTTGCTTGAGCATTGGTTGATATCATTGTTTGAACATTTTCCGTCCAGAATCCGCCTGTGGGGGGACATGCCCGACCTAACACTTAGGTCCCCTTCATGACCACTATAAGCTCGCCTTCCTGCACGGTTTCTCCTCGCCCGATTCGGCGGTCGATTGGGCGAACGAGCCCCGACGAAGCCGCAGGGAAGCGGACGAGTTTCGGCCCCGTCCTGGGGCAGCAGGTGCCTGGCATGTGTTTCGCCACGCGGTGGCGAGACGGATTCATCCGCATATGCCAGTGCACCCTGGCACCCTGCCTCCTTCCTCCTGCCTCCCGGTCCTCATTGTTTTGTCCCTCCCGCTTTCTCTTCCCTAATCCTCCCTCCCCCTTTTTTTACTCCCATCCTCCTCGTGCATCCTTCTTCCCTGTGAACTGTTTGTTCTCCTGTCTCCTGCTCGCTACCGCGCTCCATCCTCACTCTTCCTTGTCGGTGCTCTTCCCTCGTCTTCAGTAAATCCAATTCGAGAAGGCGGAGGAGGAGGAGGAGGAGGAGGAGGAGCGAGGAACGAGGAGCGAGGAACGAGGAGCGAGGAGGAGGAGGCGGAGAAGGAGGAGGAGGAGGAGCCATGAGGTTGTTGCATCTTTGTTGTCGGCCTCGGGGGGGGCGCACACCTCTTGGGACCAGGGTCAAACATGCAGTTCGCTGCTGGTGTCGGTCATCGGCATGCGTCTCGCCAGGTACATTGGGTTGTTTTTGGCCGCAGATGAGCTACCCCGCTGGGGTGCAGACGCGGAGTGCGGTGCAGTGTGCACGTGCAGTGCCCGTGGCAGCTTTCACAGGGCGTTGTGCTGAAGAAGTCGAATAGGGCGAGGACTTTGGGTAAGGGGAGCCGGTCAGTGATTTTTCCCCGAAGCCCAGAAAATGGTTCCCGACTGCCAAGCCTAGTCTGCTGTATTTGATGTCTCTTCGGGTGAAGGCAGCTCTGGTCAGCGAAATGGGGCGGGGGAGATGTTCCCCCGTGCATTCGGCGGCGAAATTCGAACCCTTACCCTCGCTGATCAACATTTTAAGCAGCTCGATGGGCGGCGGGGTTTAGGGCTCGTGATGCGTCGAGCACGTGGCGGAATCCGATCCCTACCCCCGCCGCCCATCGATTCAGGAAAATCTATGTGGTTGGTGGGGTGGGGTTCTCGCCACCTACCCAGGTAGCCGCTGACAGGCGCCCTTCCTGCCCATGTTGGGCCCACGGCCCACGGCCGGCCCGTGCGCCGGCCGTCCCGAAGCGGCCGGGGCAAGGCGTCCAGGCCTGCTTGCAGGCCCACCAGAGCATGTGCTGAGAGCCGTCTGTGGTTTGTCGGGGGCGGCGAAGAGGGGGGTGATGACTGGGGGGGGGGGGGGGGATATCATGGCGTGGGCCATGATATCTCCCCAGATTTCATGGCGCCTCTTCTTATTTCATTACGTCCCTGGTCCCCCCGCTGGGCCGCGCACATGCTGCCGGTCATGATTTGCACCCCCCCCTCTTGGACACCCCCCTCTTTGCCGCTCCCGAGTTTGCGCGAAATATTCGTAGAACACTTCTGGCCGAGACCGTCTTGCTTTACCACATTTCCGCTGGCGTGCTGCAGACATCGTTTCGTCACACGTCCCCCACGTCGCTGCAGATCGCACCCTGCTCTTGAAGAACGTGCACGCACGCTCTCTGGAGGGTATCCTGGATGAAACCTGCACGTGCAATCAATCAACACATGGTGCATGTTGAATTGTCCTCTGGCCGTGAAGCTCCAGCGGTAGCCCGAGGTGCTGGCGAAGCAGCACTCGCTCAGATGCTCTTGATCCATTGGCGATGCGACATCATCCAGTTCCAGTCTCCACCTGCACACATCACTAAGCCAGGTCCCACGAAGCCCAGTCCTGCCAACGCCCGACTGTCCAACCGCGACGCTTGGCTGCGGGCATCAGGGGCCGGCACGAGGGGGGAGGCCGTCTGAGAGGCAGGGGGGGTTGCTTAGGATCGGCGGTCCCAAGATCGGGCCCTGAGGAAGGGGAGCCTGAGGA